AATGTGATATGATGAATATCACATATATATGTGTACATAAAATATTAATTTTTCTCTTTTATTTCTCATTCATATTATTCCTATATTTTTTTACTTTCTCTCCTAAATTTCTTCTTATTTCTAAAATTTAATTCATTTTAACGATCTCTCTCATTTTCGCTTTTCACTGATATTTCTCTAAAAAAAAAATACTATTTTCAAAAATTTATCGAAATTGATGAAAAGTTTATTATTTCCTTTTTATCCTTTTATCTTTCTTTGGACAAAATAAAATTGAAAGTAAAATTTTTTTTAATTTAAAATTTCATAGATAAAAATGAATAATTCATTTTATCACATTATCATTGATTTACTGATAATAATAATAATGAAATTTTGTTTCTTAAATTACTCCTATATTGATTGCTATATGCAGAAGGAACGAATTGGATTACTTATCAATAATAAGTTTTAAGTAAATTTGAAATATTCGTCGAAAATTCAAATTTTTTAAATTCATCATTTAAATGCTTTTCAACAATAATACTTGAAATTGCTAAAAAATTCGTCCAATAAATTATTCAACTGAGAATAGCAATATTTTTTTCAATTAATACTGTTAATTATTTCACGATAGAGCAACACAATGAGAATGATAAAGCAAATAAATTAACCTTTGGCATATGTTAGAATCGCAAGAAACACTTATTTATAATTTTGTAAATAATTGTGATTGAAAACACATATATAGGATATAAATATAACTATATGTTTGATGACAGTCTAACAAATATGATTGATTTAAAATTTAAAAAAATGTTGGTACTTAAAAATTTGCTATCATCTTTTAACACCTCTTTGTATCTCTTTTATTTCTTTTTCTCTCTCTGTCAATTGAATGAAAACATTTGGAAGTCATAGCAAATTATTTTCTTCATTACTGATTTGATAATTGTAAGAAAACTATAAAATGTGAAGGAATTAAATCCCGGGAATTATCGGGCAGAAAAAATGATTAATTTACATATTTTTGGCAGAAAAACTAGATCAATAATGTCTCAGATACGTTATATTTTACTCCATTTAACGGGTAAATTTAAATTAACAATAGTTGAACAGTTGATTTTTACAAATGTCTTTTTCGAGAATGCTAAAATATGACCGGAACAAGCAAGCAGTTCTCTTTCCGGTATTTAGATAGCCATCCGGTGCAATTTTTTTTAATGAGAATACTTCAAATCCGACTGATATTTTTGATTCTAAGGATTTTCACTTTTCTATCTTATCATTTTGCATTATAAAATATAAAATAGTTAACTAATTATTGCCAATATTTATTAGATTTTTTTCCTTTTTCAATTAAAAAATTAAATTTCCAAAGAAGCAGAAAAATAAATCGATAGACTTCTATTTGTCATAACATATACATGCCAGTGCCTTAATTTGTATATGTCTTCATTAATTGATAATGATACTGTAATTCGCTATGCTTCTATGATTATAATGCCATACCGCATAAATGTGAATATTATTTTGATGGCCATTACATGAATAGATAAAATGGAATTCATTTATTACTTTCGAATGGCATTCAGACAAATAAATTTGAATGAATTATTTTTGATAGCTTTCTATAGAATAAAATAACTTTACAAAAGCAAAATGTTATAGATCGAAAATCATATTATATGCAAAAATTAATTAAATTAAGCAATACTCAAAAGTAAATGACAACACCTATTGTTGAAATATTAGCTGTCAATATGCTGATCGTATCAATCAATAAAAACTTGACCAGAAAATTGATTAAAAAATACAATTTATCAGTTCCAATTTCTCAATAATGATAAAATTAATTAAATTAAGCAAGAAAGAGGAATATATTGTTTAGACAAAGGAATATATTGTAAAGGAATTATGTTATAAATGAATAATACTTATTTAGAATTGTAGCAGAACTGAGAACTTATATAATAGTGATTAAATAATGAACTGTTGTAGATATATATAAAGATAGGAATTGGTTTGAAATGAATTAATAGGAACTGAAATTAATGTCAACCAATTTCTGTAAAAATCTTTTGACATATTTATCAGCAGAAGTTTACTGAATAATTTATTTTCCGACTTATTTTTACCATTAATTGCAAGATTGAATTACCATAAAGTGTAATTTACATATATAATGGAAATATATATAAATTACTTTCTTAGGTTTTCTTTTCATCTAATAAAAACTTCGTTCATTAGTAGAAGATAGATAACAACCCTTTCGCTTTATCATTTGACCTTTAATAACAACCTTTAACCTCTAAACTTTGGCAGCAAATAATTTCGTACGAAAGAAAGAAAAAAAGCAATGATCTTTTTATAAAGGAAAAGAAAAAAACAAAAGAAAGAAAATCAAAAATGAGATAAAAATAAGAATTAGATAAAATAAAAATAGCATATTAAGTACCAATAATTATTTCTTTTCCAATTAATTCAATTTTTATTTCTCTTTCTCTTTTCTCAACAGAAAGGTATTACTATTATCTCATTTTTCATCCTTCTTTTTCATTCGTTTTTTCGAAAAAACAATTCGATAATTGATTACATAAAATAAAAAATTGAATATTTCCAAAATTTCAGGGAGGAAATTGAGGTAAAATCTATTTTAGGAACATTTCGCTCATTCAATCGTACCTAATTTTAATTGTAAAAGGTAAATTTTATTTTCATTTCTCTCATTCTAACCTTTCTCCATGCTCTTTCATCATTATCTTATTATCTTTTTCTCTCTAAACAATAAAAGTAGTAAATTTTTCCGTTTTTAAAAAGCTTTATTAACATTGCTGTCACGACATTTGTTAGTTATTTTCGTTAAAGGTAAACATTTTATGAACACTTTTTACTATCCACCCACTCATTATTTCAGTTAATAATATTAGCAATTTTACCTGTCGTAATATGTTAATTGAAAGGAAAAACAAAAACCTTTTATTCAATTAACAATTCATTAAGATTGTTTTTTATCAGAAATATAGCAAATTTTATTTTTAATTCCAATTCCGATGTGAATTGTTTAATGTTTTATATAATTTTGCTATGAATACATAATTAAATGCAATTAGTTCAATTTCATCATATTTAATTTCAAATAATTAGCTATCACAATATTTCTAAAACAAAAGCAAAAGAGTTCAAAGGGTATGAATCGACTAATAAATGCTAATTATATATTGCATTAAATAACAAGTAATTGAAATAAATATTCAATTTTTTCATTTTCTGTTAAGAGAAGTAAAAATATTTGGGAATATTTGCAAAACGAATACTTAATATTGGAAATGATGGAAACAAGATGGTGACAGCGCAAACTATTGTTTGCTTAATTGACAGTATTCATTCTCTCATTAGATAAGAGAAGTTTTTCCATTCTTTCATCGCCACATTTTCATTCTTTAATTTGTCAAAAATTTTGATGCCGAAAGTTTTTTCTTTTTAGGTATAAATAAATTTGAATATTTGTAAGAATTTTATTAATTACGATTGAATGATTCTGAGATACGAAGGATTGATTCTGTTGGATATTTTGCATACGATTATTTCCTTCTCTTATCACTTTATTATACTTCGAGTTCTCTTCATCATTAAACACTATGAACTTCTGTCATCTCAGAAAATTATCTATACGTGTGTCATCATTTCTGCGGATAGATCAAATGAAAAAGCTACGTAGATTGCTTGCTCCCAATTATATCCATTAAAATTTCATTTCGCCATTAAATTGCATGTGGCTACAGAAATGTATGCATAGGTACCAGCGTCTATCTGTCTCTATACGTATTGCCTGTGTAGAATTTAAGAAAAGAATACTCTCTCTCTCTTTCTACAGAAATTGATAATTTGAATGACAGAAATACTTGTAAATAAAAACTCGGATCACTGCAATTTCAGCGATCTCCTTTTTTCCTCCTTCATTCTCATTCTTATCGGTCGTACAATTATTTGTCACTTTCGGTAGTCGCATAAATTCTTATAAAAATCCGTGTTTTCCGCCAGTTTTCATCAGTTTAATTAAAATCAATTTTCCACTTTAATATATCTATCATTTGTTTTAAATTTTAATTTAAAAATAAATAAATAACTTTTATTTTCTTTCTCTATCCAATGATATATTTATTACTTCTAATATTACTATTAGCTTCCTTTGTTTATGAAGTTTTTATTAACAATTACCAAATCATCCAATGCATATTTTCTACCGTAAATTTTATTGAAAAAAATTTTTTTTAGTTGTCACTAATATAAGTACACGTACGTGTACACGCATATATTAAATCAATGGCAGTTATTAGAAAGCAAAAAGAAAATGTTCCTTTTGAAAATTTTAAGGAGAGAAAAGGAAAAGAGGTAAAGGAAGGAAAATAATCACAATTAGGTCATTTTCTATTTTTCATGAATTTTTTCCTTGTTTTAAATTTATTCCCATCTCTGTCATTTAACCATTCCGTCATGTCGTTGAAGTAAAGAACTAAAAATTACTCTAATCTTAAGTAAATAGATGATTAAAATTTCATTGCGCTATTTGTAAATCATTAAATTTCAACACTAATAGCAATGATGTTTAAACATTTTAACTTTCACTGATGAAAGTTTGTCTTAGGTTATAAGCTATGCAGGCTAATCTTGCTTATATCATTTATATCAGTGTATCATTTTTCATAATCAAAATGTTATCAAAGACAGCATAGTGAAAATAAGCAATATAAGCAATTCTTTTTTATCATTTTACTTTAATTTTCAATTTCCAGTTCTAATTTTAGTCATAATTTTCTTTTGATTGTTAAATTTATATAATTTTTTTCAGACTTAAAGTAATATTCGGTGATGCTATAAACGAAACTTTAATTTTACAACCGATTGAACGATCACACATCGATGAAGTGATGATTAAATTATTCTTATTCTCATTATTATAATTTTGGAGTATCAGAAAAAGAGAAACAATGTTTTGGAATATTTCTATCATTCTTTTCATGCTATTCGCAGAATCTGAATTTATCAACAGTTCTTTATCACCATTATCATCAACCTTATCACTACCATCCTCAACCTTCATACCTCTTTCATACGAATTCATACGAACTCATTATGCTGCACAGCCATTACAAAATCTCATCCTTACAACATCAGTTAATTTACCTAATATTGCTTTAAAAAATATGAATCAATTTGAAACGGATCAAAATGATTTAACTAATCATAGCGATATCACCAGATTACAGCAGGTATCAGTGCTTTTTAATTTCACTGCTTATTAATAAATTGGAATAGCTAATAAGTTTATTGTTTTTGATATGAAATTTGTAATATTAATTATTATTGGATGAAAAATTTTAGTGTAATAAATACAAAATATATTAAATGATTTTTGGAGCTTTTCTCTAATGTTTTTATTGACTAAAATTGCTTATTTAATAATAAAAAGAAAAGAATCTGTTAAATTAATTAAAAATATTAATTTAAATGAAATACTAAATGAATAATTAATAAATATTAATTATTCGAACTGTCAATGCTTAATTTTCTTCTAATTTTACTTTAATTTTAATAGATTAACAATAGGCTATCTTTTCAATAAAAATTTCTTTATTAACGCTTTGAAGAAATTTTTGAAAAACGAAATTTTAAATATGAACGAAAATATTGAATTTAAAATAGAATCAAAATATTGCTTCTTTCGTTTGAATAAGGCAAACATTTCAAATTGTCATTTTATCATTCTCGATGAACTTTCTTATCATTTCTTTATCATTAGATCATTCTTGATTTACCTTTGATTTTATTCATCAATTAAGAAACTAATTTGTTTCACAAATTATTGTTGTTATTTTTTATCTGTTAAATTTATTTTGTCATTTTAGATTTTCCCTCTGTTTCTTTTCAAAATAATTGGCATACTGTAATGAAGATATTCTTTTCAAACCATATAATTAATTGCAAAAATGTGACAATCAAATGAATTAGAAGAAAATTCGACAAAATTAAGAAGTACCATTTCCTGAAATAGCTTCTCTAAACCGTTCAAAATCCGGTTTTTTCTCTTTATTTTCTATTTATCTCTCTTAGGTAATCAAAACTTTGAATGATTTCAATGCTTGTTTTCCTGAAATTTTTGCTTAATAAGGATTAGCTTCTTTTTTATCATAGTTGTTGTCTTATATTGTGATCAGTTGATAAGATATGATTTAATAAGCTTAAAAGAAAATAAATAATAAGTCAATTGTATGGAAAAATTGAATGAAAAGTTCAAAGATTATTCTTGGTAAAATTTAATTGCAATTTTTTAAAACTATTCGATCGCCATTCTTTGAAACTGGAATTTAGTTTAATTCAAAATAATTTTTTTCATTTCTCTAGTGTCAAACAACTAAATAAGCGCAAAATTTCTTAAACAGTATACGTGAACTATACGTAGAATACGTAAACACGTACAATTCACGTAATATATCATAAAAATTATCATATGATAGTAATTTCTTCTCAAAGTATTCTTTTCCATTATCAATTTTATTTTAGCCTTATTTGCTGTCCAGTTTGTTTTAGGCTGCAGGCAGGACGAACCAAAATTTACAATCACTGACAACACACCGTAAAGGATTGCTTGATTATTATAATACAAAACAGACCGAGAAATCAGGTAGTAAGGTACAAGTGATATCAAATATTGATAATCAGTTATGGCCTTCTCATAAATCCATTCCAGAAGATGTGAAAGAAGAAGGACAATGGTATCATGGTAACTCATTTCCACACTTTTTCAGTAACATATTTCGATTCTATTTAAATATTTTTAAGACATAAATTAACACTAACAATTTCCTTGCATTTACACGTATTCTAACGTTTTACACATAATTTTGTTATATAAATTAATACTAATAATTTTATTGAGAATACGATAACAGGTATTGTATAGTGCTATTACGATATGAAATATTATTCAGAATCCCTAATATTGTTAATGTTACCAATAATATGAATCGAACTTCCCTTTAATGTGTTGTAAAATTGGCAGATAATTTTTTAATATCATCCAAGTTATTAGAATATTCGTCTATCTTTAATTAGCTTCTTCTTATTATTATTATTTCTGTTAATATATTTGAATTGATCGAATTAAAATAACATACGTTCGCTTAAATAAATTAATTCAATTATCATTCATACTGTAATAAACACACTTATTAACCAAATTAATCATATTGGACTAATTGTATATTTAGGTTTATTTAATAAATAATTTTATTGCATAACGAAATCCTTAATTCATGATACTTGAATTTCAATAATCAATTACGTATGATGAAGCTCATTTTATAACGCATATAGATACTTTGCATTAAAATTTATGAGTTGAATTTCGATTTTAATATTCGTTACAGATCGTAATGATATCGATTATAATGCAGAAGAATTGAGAATCGAGTCAACATTACGATCACCTCATGTGAAACATCATGAATTACTTGACCTGAATGATACTATCTCGCATATTTCCGAGGTCACCAATGATTCAACTTTATATCCTTTTACAGGTTTGATTATAGTATATCCAATACTTTTAATAGTTTCAGAAAATCTTAGTGATACATAATCTTATTTATTTAATTGCTTCTATTTCATTTCCTCATACCGATAAGATGGTACATTGTATACTTAAGTCATTCTGTTACTCAAATATTACTGTTGGAAATACAAATTCAGTTTTTCAAGCACTTTTCTTATCATTTTTACTTAAGCATACAGTATCCATCACTTTGAATGGATAATTACTTTTTCATCAATTAGTGTCGTATCATCAATGTAATTAATGAATTCTACCTTTATTCTGTCATCTGTGATATGCCTCAAAAAATTCCTCAGCACTGAATTCATAATAGCTTAAACAAAAACAGACAAAGAGTGAAAATATGAAACTCATTTCATACGTTAATTTTTGAATGTGTACTACATTAAATTGTATCACTATTTTTTTAAAATGATTTATCATGTTTGTTTTTAATTAATTTCTTTATAATAACATAATTCATTTTCATTTGAAAATTCATTTCCACAATATAAATAAATTTTGCATATAAAAGTGAATTAAAGTAAATAAAATTAAAACTTATAGAAATAAAAAATTTTTATTAAATATAAAAGACAATAAAAATTCAATGCGAAAATATGTAAAATATATTAATTCAATGCGTATACAATAATGCGAAAATCAATGAATTTCAGTAAAACTGGGATTTGGTATTGGTTTATTATTGTTATTTCTCATACTGATCATATTTCGTATTATTATGCATCGAGAATGGTTACGACAAAATTCGCAATCAGAAAATGATATAAATCACAATTCATATGAGTGGAATTTTTGCCTTCATTGTGGTTTGATTGGAAAAACGACAATGAAGAAAATGACCAATGTCAGTATCGGAAGATTACAGAATTATTATAAAGATGAAAATGATCGATATCATAAACGTATTCATGATGTGTAAGTTTATATTAAATTTTTATATTGTAGCAATGATTTGAGTTTAATTATTTCGTAATTAGACTTAATTTTATAAATAACGTAGACTTAGTTTTATTAGATTTAATTTATAGCTCTTTCTTTGATTAAATTATTTTTTTTAAAACAATATTCTTTTCTATCTTGCATATGCTCTCACTATTTTTGTTAGCTTAATGTTTGCGAAATTATTTCTTTATTTCGGCACTTTACAATTCTTGTCAATATTGTGGCACAATGACGAAATATTTAGATCAAATTTTCCGGGAGATCGTAAACTTTGAGATTTCCCCAGTAAAGATCGGGAGTTCATACGCATTCCTTTGTTTTTTTTTCAACGATAAGTAGAAATAAATTTCAAAAATGAAAATAGACGGCAAGTTATTATAATTTAAGATAAATGATAAGAGAGAGATGAGATAGAGCACCTGTAGAGACGAGAAGAAAAGTGAAATAACATCTTTTAAATCTGTCTCGGAAATATTAGTACTTTCTACGAACAACATTCTCTCTTTCAAAAATGAAAAAACTTCCTATAGCAAAAAAAGAAAGAAACAATCTTACCTTTTGGTCACCTGTCTCAGTAATTTCTTTTTTAAGCGAAAATTTATGGCTGCTAGAGAAATCTCGATTGGTTGTATTCCATGAAATGAAACTTGGTTCTGGAGCATTTTGCAACGTTTACAAAGGTTGAAACTTTTGCATATTGAAATGCTTTCGTACTATTTTAATCCAACTAAGAAATGATAATTAAAATGGAACAATTTATGATAAAGTATAAATAAGTTGTGGTTATTATATAAGTTTTGCGCTGAATAATTTAAATTTTGAAATAATTTAAAATGAATTTATAGCAGCTTTAGAAAACGCATTTATGATAATTATATGATAACTGATAACAGCACTCCTCAATTATCATAATTTGTAATAATTATAGTTAATTAAAGTTTTTTGGCAAAACTATGATAGTAATACAGATCTTAGCATTATTTCAGATTCATTAACAAAGAATGATTTAAAATATCGCTATTATCATATCTGCTAGTGATCATATTTGCAATTCTTATCAATAACAACACTGATAGTAGCATTGATAATTTTTATAACAATTATTCTTTAAATGTTATATGGTTTTCCTTTTTTATTTAAATTTTTTCTTTCTTATTTTTTAGGTGCCATTGAAGGATTGGCACCAATTTGTAAAGTAAATCCATCATTGACAACTTATGGAACATTCAAAGATTGCATGTGTGCCATTAAAATGCTTTCATCTACTGCAGATGATAGTGCATATGCAGACTTCATGCAGGTTCATCATTTCAAATATTTCAACTGCACGACGTAAATAATAGCTAACGCAGTAATTTATAGAAAATTTTTTTTGCAATTGATGAAATTTAAATATGATTTCAATGTATTGAAAAAAACAAAAGATTTGAAAAAATGTTTAAAAATTTTAAATCAAATTGCTAAATACAATGAGAGATTAATTAGGAATTAATTTAATTATCTTATCATTGCTTGCGTCAACTGCAGATCTTTCCATCTCTTTCTTTTTCCCTCATCTTTTCTTTAACAATGCAACGAATAAGATCGCTATGACATTTGATAAAGTATCAATACGGTTTAGGATAACCTTTAACCTGTTCACCACTTCAAATATTACATTTACTTGATTTCTGAAGTTTTCTATAATCTTTCCACACCTTTCTTTTATATATAATTAAAGAATATTTTTATTTCTAATTATTTTCTTATTATAACTTAAATTCTAATGAAATGAACATATCGTAAGTAGAAGAGGAGAAAAAGAAATTCAAATTTTATTTTGAAAAGAATTGATTGCAGGAAATAAAATTTATGAAATCACTGAAGTATCATCCACATTTGGTAAGTATGCTTGGGATAAGTATCGATGATAATGGTAACATTATGCTTCTCATCGAATACTGTGATTTGGGTGATCTTCTACATTTGGTACGAAACAAAAAAGGCGAAATTATTATGGTTTATTTTAATTTAATTTCTTAACAAAAATTTTATTAAAGTAAATATTAATTCGGAAGATTTTTAATTTATAAAATTTTACATTTTTAATAACGATAAAATGAAAATTTTCTTACCAAATTAATTGATAATAAATCTTTTTATCAGAATTATACGAACGAACATTCAAAATTACGAATCAAAGATTTAATATCATTTTCATGGCAAATCAGTAATGGATTAGTAAGTTTATATTATTTCAAAAGAAAATTTGGCTTAAATTTATGCTTGTCTTTGAGAAATATCATCAATGATACAGTGATTTGCTTTTCTTCTTTTCATTTCTTCAGTATATTAAGTCGAATTCTCTTTCATTATTTAACTTTACTTCCTCATATAATTTTTTCATTTTACTTTATATATTTTGTGTACTTTCCGGAAGATAAAAGCATAATCAATTAACTAAATCCATTATTTCTTACTTTACTCTTTTGCATAATCGTTAATTATCTTTCATTAAAGAAGTTAATAAGTATTGTTGCAGTGCTGTTATTTATCTATCATTCATATATACTTGTAAGAATATTTCCTTAAGTGCTTAGTTTCTTAGGTAATATGATGTGCAATATGGTTAAAATTAAAGTCTAATATCAATTATAGTATTACATTGTAGGAATATTTGAGTAACATAGGATGCGTACATCGTGATATAGCTGCTCGCAATGTACTTGTCAACGCTACAAATATTTGCAAGGTTAGTTCTTTTATCTTCACCTGCTTTAAATAATATTGCTAAGTTGTATAAATGTCATTTTGATATGATAGTAAACATAAGAGTGCTGTAGTTATTATTACTTAAATGATAGAATAAATGTGAAATGAAATTTACACGAAAATGATAACTTAAAATATTTATGTTCGATACTGTACTGATAGTTCAATTCATTTTCAATTTTTCTTTTTATTTCAACAATTTATTTAATTTTTTCAATACATTAAATTCTAAAAATAAGTGTAATAATCATTTACAATTGGTACTTTTCCAATGATTTTATTCAAATTAATGAAAAAATATTTGTTATAGCAAAGTAATCAATATTTACAACTTTTATGCAAATTTTTATTTATTTACTTTTTTAATTTTTCATATATTCTCTTGTTTATCTGTACCATTTAACAAAACATAACACAATATTAGCTGTTGCATCATTTGCTAAATAAAGTTTATTATTATCTCTACTGCTATCATAAAACATTGCAACTTTTGCAAAATATTTCTAATTGATAAACGGAACAGAAAAAATAAAAGATGGAAAGGATAAAAGTAAAAAAGCATTTTATCAAGCATTTCAATACAGAATTTCAAATTTTCATCATTCCATTTCAGCGTAAAATATTAAAATAAACATCTTTCATACCCATCTTTTACTATTTTAGCTTTAATCATTTTATCAGTTTATTTCTTAGGTTATCAGCTTGTTAAATTTTATTGATTCCAATTTGCAAATTTCATACACATTTATTAAAAAATCGATAATCGATACACATTTATTAAAAAATCGATAATCGATAACTATGGCTATCAACACTAAGAAAAACTAAGAACAGAATTTTTTCATCATCAAGAAAGTACAGTGAAATATTGAAACAAAGAAAATTGTCAAGTAGTTTTTTTAAAAAAACTTTTTTTCCTTCACAGATAGCTGATTTTGGATTGTGTCGGTTATCCGAATCGTTTATTTACACAGGTCACGGTAGAAGGTTACCGTTAAAATGGATGGCACCGGAATCATTACGATCATATGAATATTCAATTAAAACCGATGTGTATGTAATATTCAAAGTCATTTCGTTTAAAATTTTTATAACGTTGCAATATAAAATTCAGCAAGACTTCCAAAGATTATTTTAGGAATGAAAATTAAGAATTTTTTGAATTTTTACTATACATAATTTTACCTAAGCCATTTCTTTTAGTTATCAACTTTGAGGACTGCTTTAATCGCAAAATTTGATACTTAATTTGCATAAACTTAACTTATATCTTTTAATTTCAGATGGTCTTATGGTGTGTTGCTTTACGAAGTATTTTCGTTTGGTGAAGTACCTTATGCACCTTTGCAGGCAACCGAAATTCTTGATTTTTTAAATTCTGGCGCTCGTCTTCGCCAACCTCAATATTGTCCAATTAATGTGTTCGTTTTCCTTTATTTTATTTCATTATTTTCTCACTACAGAGTATTCCCACTGAAATATATCAAAATTTACTAATTTTTCTAAATTTATTAATCTTTTGAAATATGGCGGGTGTCATGAAAGTTTTTGATTTGAATATTTTATTGTTTCACAGTTAAATATTATTATAAAGATCTGACATTATAAGACAATATCAGAGAATATCAGGATAAAATGAATCACTATTTGGCAATAATATTTCTGATAGTACCGAGGACCGCAGTAGTAGTGGTGTAAACGATACTCTCTCTATCTCTTTCATGTAAATAATGATCATACGGTTCGCATCGAATTGAGACGCTTAACATTTAAAATAATTTAACGCATTGTTAAGTAATCTTTATGGAATGAATTTGATAAACGATAAAATTAGAATGATTTTCTAAAACCATTTGATTGTTTAGAAACAATAAAAATTATTTTATAAAATCATTTCAGTTTTTCCAATAGATGGAATTGTTTGAAATTATGAATTTGTATTAAATTATTCATTTTTAATGAGCCAATAAATGAAAACGATTCCATGAAATCGATCAAACTGTAAAAAGAATATGAAATATCCTTTAGTTTATGAACATATTATTAATTTAATTTCGAAAACTTTAAATAATTTCATAACATGAAAATTTCATTATTCTTTCTCATCCATTACGACAATGATGAAATTCAATTATTTGTCATCTCAATCCATCTTCTGTTTAATTAATGAATACTTCTGATGACATGACAATAATGTTGCCATCTCTAGGAAATTTTTTGTTTTATCTAAAAGGAATGTAAAATCATTTGTAGTACATGAAAAGAGAAAAACGCTTATCTTTAAAATGCCTTTGTCGCAGATGTATTTGTCATCTTTCTATTCATTTTAACTTAAATTATCAAATGGAAATATTTTTTAGATATACGCTTATGCTTCAATGCTGGCAAGATGAACCATCGTTACGGCCTACTTTCACAGAGATTTGTTCCATTTTAAGTGTGATTCTGGAAGATAACTTCCAGAATTATGGATATATCAGTGCGATTAATGGGAATGGAAATTCTATCAACATTGATTGATTGATTGATTGATTGGATGGAAAAGAAATCAATATTGGAGAACGAACAATAATTGTGTTATAATTATTCAATTAGATAAAAAGGAATTTGTTACTAAATGAAAAATACTTTTCTTTTGTTTCATATCAATAAAAACTTTTGTTATTTTCTTTCTTTCTCTTAAAATAGAGTTTAACAAAGAAAATCAAAAATTTCTTTTTCTCTCATTTTTCAATAGAAACTACTAAAATCTCTAATTTCCTGTTGCTAACTTATAACGAAATTGCATTAAAAAATAACTATCTAATGGCTAAACTTAAATTAGTGAAATTTTTAAAGAGTAATAATAATGCTTGGAATTATGCCTAAATTGTTTTAGTGATATCTTTTCATCAAAATTTCCTATCTCCTCTTGAAACGAAAATTACTTTTTCTACGCTAAATTATCTAGAACGACACCAGTCATTACAAGCCTGTATAGATGTGCTTCTTGAATTATAATGATATTAATAATGCTTATGCTAATTATCATTAATATGTTAATAATAATTATTATAAAACTAATAATAGTAACAATAATGATAATAATAACAATAACAATGATACTGACTAATAGTGGCAGTAAACTCTCCTCTTTTAATGAATGAAAATATATTTTGTCAATGCTATCCGTCCCAGGTCGTCTGATATAAATCATCGAAGTTTAAACTTTGCAATGCTAATTTTATTGTGCTTTTTTATTGAATTAAATTCAGTTATTGATTTTCATTTTTTTTGCCAACAATTTTTGTGCCACAGTCTCATTTTAACGAAATCAACAAAGCATTAAAAAATGTTATTTGTTAAGAGGTAAAACTAGAAAGAAGAAAGTACTAACTGTAGGCAAACATAGAGGTAAATAAAGATATAGAAGCAGATAAACAGGATCCGAAATAAACCGGATTACTTGAAATTTATCACAAGAAATAATTGCATCCTAAAATGTTTACCCATTGTAATTTATTCATTAGAAAGAGACAAAATGTACAAAAAATTATGAAATTTGATTAATGGAGTATAAATATACGTAAAACGTAAGAGTACGATATACAACTGATATTGCGCAAAAAGAAAAGGATTGATAATAAACTATCACGTTATTCCTAAGTTGAAAATAAGCTATCACGATAAGCTACCACGTTATTCCTATGTTGTTAACTAAAATTAAATTTCATCTCTTAATAATTATTTTATTGATATTAGCAAAAATTATATTATTTGCTATATTTAGCATGAAAAGATTTGAAATTTTTATTAAAAATATATATTAAAATCATATACAAATATTCTCTTTTTTTACTTTTCACTGTAAAGCAACAAAATTCCAATTACATTGTAAGCCAATGATAACAATGATACCAGCAGTAATAACACCAAGTATAGCAATACCAGCAAAATAAACGTAAAGTATTGGCGTACATTCACGATCCAACATTAACTTTATCCATTCTTGAAATTCTAACTTTTGTTCCTTCAATATTATATTACAAAATCATTCTTTTATTAATTATCGAAATAATGCAATGATCGTTTAAAACGATATTATCCAAATTTAAAACGAAAATAACAGGAAATTTAATCTTCCTACTTATTGCCATAATCATTTTGAATTGTAAACCAATTAGAGTTATTTGAATAAAACTACTTAATTATAAACAATAGTATTTCATTAATTATAAACAATAATATTTTGCTCAACAACATCGTCTGTTTATCAAAATTGAAAAGTTAAATCATACATGAAAATAAACTTAAATTTTGTTCACTGTTTTTTGCTATGCAAAAAAAAGTAGAAAATAAAGGAAAAAAATTTAGATACCTGGCCAATCATTTCTGATCCGACAGTTTGAAAATCTAATGTTGGCGTCGCTTTTTTCATGCCTTTATTATCAGCAGGAATGAGAACATCTGATGCCGCGACAGGTGTTTGCATATTGTTATTTATTTTTTGATGTCTAAAAGTTGTTATACCAATTATCGTTATCAAGTTTCGTTATATCGCACTTTTTGCTTTTGTTTATGTCCTGAAAATTTTTTGAAATTTTACTTTTTGCTATTCAATTTTTTCCTTCTTCATAATACCATAGAATGTAATATAGTAATTAACACCAAATAATACAGTGCTATTTTTTTTGTTATCGATTAATAGTTCCTAAGGAAAATCATATTTATACAAATAGATGTTAATTAATTAATTTCCTCATATTTAAATTATAATTAGCAAAAATTGTCGACGAATTTGAGGAAAAATACTAAAAAAATATGTAAATGTAAAATTGAAATAAATAAATGGATGGAATAAAAACAAATATAATTAATTATAGGTATAATTAAAAAGAAATAGAATAAGTAATGTTTGTGAAATGAAATTTAATGGTACCATTCCTTTAATTTTATAGCAATACAAGGTAATATTATCTTTAAGGCATATTTTAAGGCATTTCTATGAATTATGTCTTTTTTTTCTCTTTGGAAAATGCTCTTAGAATTAGTTTCGTATTATTATTAATATTTAAAGAGTATTTAAGAAAGTTTGAAAAGTCTTTATATACATAATTAATTACCTTCAATTCAATGTATCGTTCAAAATGATAATGTTGAAAATCATTCGAAACAATGAATAATCCGGAATGTAATACACTTCTGCTGAAAATTCCTTTCCGATAGTATCCGTTCAACAAACATTCAAATTCATTTCTTTTGCATATTTATTAATTAATATTAGCATATATAACATTTAGTAATGCTTCTAAGAATTTTTTTCCTTTTTTTAAGTGAGCAAAATACAACAAATTTACATTAATTTAAACAATAACAATAACGACGAAAAATTGTCCAGTATTTTCTTTTCACTTTTCCTCTTTTTATTTCATCAGTGGAAATAAATCCCAGGTGAAAACAATGCAGAAATAATGAAACCACCAGCCTTGTAAATAAAATATGTTTACAATGACCTCTACTTTAGCTTCTCTTTTTTTCCCCCTTTTTCTTCTAAAGAAAACTTCACAAGAAAGAATAAAAAGATGTCTGAACTTCTTCCTTATCTGTTGTTCATTAAGGTAAAGAAATAAAGAAAGATCAGTTATGTTTTTTATATTTTGATAATTTAGGTAATGAAATGTCTATAAGTCAATAAATCGGTGATAATTATATCATCTGACTTTTCATCTTTACCTATATATTGTGATCTGACAGATATACCTAAAAACATCGTCATTCCCCCCTTTTTATTACTCTTCTCAGATTTTCTTCCCAGCACTTCCAGTTTTGGAACGTTTTTTTAAAATATATACCACAAACTTACCCTGTTACTGTTAATTTATTCTTCTATGAAAACGTAGGTTGAATGCATTATCTATTGGTAGTCACAAGTTGACAACAATCAAAAATTTTTTCACTGAAAATTTTCCCAAGATAGCCAACTAAACATAGCCATATTTTTTTAATTGGCAACCAGGAAGCTCAACTTTATATGATCAAAACATTAGATGCTTCGAACAATCATCCTTAATGGAATACATATACTATAAACAAGTTGAAAAACACATAGCACAAAAAAAAGGAAAAGAGAGTAATGAAGTCGAAGATTCCTACACATTAACGATAAAGCAAATGTAAAGAGATTAAGTAAGCTTACAAATGCAATATTGGAAAAAAAATTCATGCTATAATGATTAAATAATTTGTGCACGATCTCATTTAGAACTACACTAACAGACTGTTTACTGCCAGCACGCAAGATTAATAACGACTTCCCAATATCAACAAAACGTATCCTTACAATATGCCCAAATATGCACCTAACATAATTTATTGCAACAACCTCACCGACGACCTTGCTAAATTTCTTCAAACGTTAGAAAAACAATTCCCGAAATCGAAATTTAATTCATAGATTGCGAAACTTTAAAAACATAGATTACTAGAACTCATTGTTCTTTTGCTATTCATTCTTCACCCGAAATTCTATGATCTCATATTACAGAGGAAAGACAGAGAAATAATGAAAGAGAGATATGCAAATTTAAAGATCAAGCTATGTTATTTGCCCATTGCAGTTATCTAGTCCAAAAAAAATGCAACAAAAATAGTAAAACGATAAGCAAAGGCAAATACACGTAAAAGACTTATTTGAACTATAAACAAAGGAAAAAATAGCTAAAGCAAAACAAACTATGATAATTGAAAAGCAAATTATACTTTCAAACGATTTCGGACAAAAACTTGACCCATGGATGAGAAATCACTGTCAAATAAACCGAAAATATCAGAGGAATCTTCTCGAAACCTAAAGGCGAATGAAGTGATGAAGATCTTCTTAAGCTAATGATTTTCTCCGATGATTCCTTCTGAGAAAGTTTCATCAAAAACATCTTTTCCGTAAAAAATGTTTTTGATGAGACCTGCTGTCCTGAATCGGATTCCATAGTATGCTGAATGGTGAATGAAGCTATTCATCATATTGACAATTAATATATACGATCTTTTTAAAAATAAAATTCCAAAAATTTTGATTTTCTACAATAAAACTTAAATAAGGGGAAGGTAGACAAGTAAAAAGTGAAAGAATTAAGGTTCGCCAAATTACGAAAGATTAAGATATACAATAGTGAGGGATTAAAAAATAACAAATATCTAGAAAAGTTATATTTGACATAGCTCTATGATAAACATATGACCGTCTATTGAAAGCTCTTCAAAGCACATAATGACTAAAACTTCAGATTACACAACGAAATCCAACGTAAAAAATTTTCAGAATCTGCCTCAAAACTGCTAATAATATCATTGCTAAAGTCAATAGCGTCTCGTAAGTATGTAACATATCAAGATATTAATGCTGCTGCTGCTGCATTAAGATCCCATCGGCAATCTTGTAATGCATTGATTGCTTGACCTCTATCGTGTGCTATACCCATCGACAATAACTCCTCGATTTTCAATTCGATCACAGCTTTTTCAATGTTATTGTTATATCGTTGCAGTTTTATTGCACATCGCCGTCTGCTGCAAAAAAATGCAGCTGAATAGAAATAAGCTTAACCAATGAGTGATTTAAATATAATAGTTTACTACTAAATTTCGAATATTTTTGGCAATGTATATACAGAAAAACCCTTACGTGTATATATATTTTTTCTTATATGGAGAAAGGAAGGAAAAGGTAAAAACCTTGCAACCATAAATAAGGAAGTCATCATCAAGTTGTTTGAATTTATATCATGCAGCTGTAGAAGTATTTGAAATATTAAAAAAAAATGTAATTCAAACGTGATCTATAGTGACTGATTCGGATACCAAGATAATTCAATAATTTGTTCCAGCTATAGGCTTTTTTTCACAGCAATGAAAGCATTATTTAACATAATAAAATCATAAGATCGATTAAAGATCAAGAACAAAAACTCTTCAGAAAAAAGATTTACTCCGCAAAAGCCGCGTTTCTTAAAACTGCGTTAACACGATCAGAGTTCGATATCGACGAAGCTGAGACATTAGTGGAACCAGGGATTACTCGTTCCGCAACTAATGGATCGAACATACCCAAAATTTCGTCACTTAACTGAAACGAAATTTATTGAAATTAAAGTAATGTACTTTGTTTGAATATTACAGTAAGATTTGTAATCTTCTATTTACGATTTACAGCGTCCCATAATAAACTTTGCTTAATTTCTTTTTTCGTATCATGGACTTGATAAAAAACATGAAAACATTTCAACTCAGAATGTATATCACAATCTAGTAAACTATGAAAACAAATTTAAATGAAATTAAATTTAAATCAAGCTTTATCATTTCTTATCAAGTGAAATATGATAAAAACAATAAGCTTTATCATTTCTTATCAAATGAAATATGATAAAAACAATCATCTAGGAGTTATGGCTTACGTAAGAATTCCTTTGCTTCGAAGAATTCACATGAGAGCTATTGTTTGCATGTGAAGAAAGAGATGCTTCACTTACCGTCGGTTTACTTGAATTTAATCGGACACCTAAAGTAAACTTCATTTCAGGAAAAAAGGAATAATGAGAAGTATTAGTGGAAGTAATTAAACAATTTAAATTATTGAGTAAGAGTAACTATCAAACAGATTATGCCAACAATTTTTGAATCTTTTTCTTTCTTAATTGGCATCTGAACTAACTCTAAGCAAATCCAGTCCAAACAATTAAAGTGCCGAGTAAAAGCAATAGTAATATAAAAGGATAGCATAGACGATATAAGACATATCCTTGAAGCCTCAGAAACTATCAAACACGAAATAATTTAACAATTAGAATAATCAATCAATTACATAACCAATATATATATGATATTTAGTTCCTAAATTTTCTCCTCGTAAAGCGTTTAGATCCTAAAATCACCATGTAAATACTATGATCTCTCAAAAAGCAATCAAAAAATAAACTAATTATGAGAATCATAAAGAAAATCAACGATACTTCCATAAGCTGATGACAAAGAAGATCGCTGCGGTATGGACGATTCAGCAACACCTGGTTGCCAGTAGTAGCATGTCTGAAATTCAATTTTTTGCTATTGAGGTACAAACTGTTAAGCATGTCGGCCTTGACTTTATTGATATATCAAAAATTACATTATTGGATAAATCTAGTTACCCATTTCTACTCCAAGGAGAAAGGGTGAAGCACTGGAAAATGTTTTGAACCTAGCAAATATTTTTCTCAAAAAAATAAGAAAAAATCCTATCTAAGAAAAGTTCTTACTCCTATTTCGGGCGGAGATTTCACTAATCCTGATAATGACGATGAAAAATAAGAAACATTGTTTGATAACTGCTCATTGTTAAGTAACACTGTTGATGGTCTTGACAGCTTATTAGGACTACGAGATTCTTTCAGTCCCATCTGATAAGTTGTATTTAGCGAAATAGATGAAACCTGAAAAGATCGCAACTGCAAATTCAATACAACAAATTAATAAAATAAAAATAAGATTTGCTAACCAATGAATAATGCCATGTAAAACGAAAAAGTGAGAACTAAGACTTTGTAAACAAGTAAAATTCATAGTTTATTAATAGATAACAAGCAACGCGATTTAAGCGGATTGGTATCAAACGAGTACAAGCGAAAAACAAGATTAATAGACTGTTTCTTATGGGTTTGTAAGTCTCTGTTTCTTCCTTTCAAAATCTCAGTGTCCGCGAGATCACCTTGACCGAGGATGAAATAATCGAACAGCATTGATGCATGGAAAAAAGGAAGACAAAATAGCAGAAGTCAGTAGTAGCAGTAAAACGGTTCCAAAATGCTATAATAATGGAAAAATACATACAGCTTTAGCAGATGTAGAAAGATCTTTGAACAGTTGACTGTAACCTCCTTTACTGGCAATGTCTTTCACAGTCTTTGAAATCTGGAAGCAGAATTCATAAAAATTATTCCCAAATATAATAAATACTTGGGCTTTTAAAGAAAAATTTCATAACAGTACAAAAATCTACCTCGAAAGGATCAAAACTGTCTTGGCTATACGAAGTATTATTAGATGTAACTATTCCGGAATGCATGGAAGTTGATTGATTCGCATTTTGGTTAGCGTCATGTGAAGTGGAAGTATCTGACACATTTTTTGCTACTAAAGAACTCGTGCTCCACTGAATATTATTCTCCGTTATCTGTAAAAATTTATTAAGCAACAATTAATATAGCTTCTCACTCATATTATTAATATCGCACCAACGACTTACGCAATACTATAACTGTAATTCAAAATAAAAGTTATGGAGGGAAATTTCGTTGTGTCTTCATTTAACAACCTGTTTGAAGTTTGGTGGTTTCGGTCTTGGAGGTGGTATTTTTCCGTTCTGCATCCGATTTTTATCAATTTCACTCTGATATTTTCCTTCTATAGTGGATGTCAGATAATTCAATGTTCGTTGCATACCTGCGTTAAAATTGGACGAATTTGAATAACATTTGAAGTATTACCAAAAAAAGAAGTGAACTAAAATAGAAAAGCTTAAAAATCAATCATGAAAAATTCCGTCACAAACATAGATGAAAAGTGGATATTATACACATACCTGATTTATTTTGCAAATTACATGAAGACTGGGAATGTTCCTGCGACGTAGAAGGTAACTGGGAAGCAGAAAATGACTGCTAGAAAAAAATTTTTTAATTTTCAAGATGTTCAGCATAAAGAAGCAAAAATCTCTCCAAGACAAAAAAGATCTGCAAACGTTATTTCCGATATGCATTGAATACTAATTGAATTTGGTAATTAATTATCAGTGTCATTTTAGTACTGCTATAAAGTCTTTACTATGGTGTTCAACAGATTAAAAGATGCGCAGATAGTACTTGCCCATTTAACAAAATTAAGTTCTAATTTTGAGAAGCTTCTCGTAATCTCAGCCTCCTTCAGAAGAGAAAATTTGAATTATAAAGATTTCTTAATTATTGATAAATTAATCACATCTGAACAATTCCCAGAAAATTTTCCTACCACAGTTGTGAGAGACTGCAGCGACGTCTGCATTGTAATATCAGCACCAGAAAATGATGATCGTTGCATCTGGCTAGAAAAGATGAATTCGATAAAGTATTAATTTACGAGAAAGTGCAAAACATTCAGGTAAAATAATGGAATTTGAAGATTGCTATGTACTTTTATTGCTAGCTTCAAAACTTTACGGTGGAATACGTCAGTTTTGACTTAGAAAGTACCATATTTAGTCTGAAACGTGAGTTTGAAGTCAGTATCTCTCCTATGAAGTCTACGTCGAAATGTGTCGGATTTTCACATATGATAACACTTAAAAATATACTAAATGCACCAAGATACCGAGTCTCGGGACAATTTATACAGGTTGGACACAGTAAACGAAATAGAGATACATGAATCATCTGAACAGTATTAAACGATATCAACTATCAAGGCATTCTCGTTAGATAAACCATAAACAACAGGGAATTTCATATATTTATATGAATCCAAACCTGCATGATGCAACGTCAGATGTTGATCGAAGTGGCAAAGATGAAAACTGCTCTAAAAAAAATACATTATAAAGGCGAATAAAAATCCATGGAGCACAATTTGCACGTTACATGAACATTTTAGACTAGTTTTTGATCCCAGTGCAGACTAGAGAAAAATTACTTTCATCGGTTGTCGCTGTATCAAGCGGAGTATTAGTCGAAACATCAAAATTGGATATAGTTGGTTCTGGCAAATGGGAAGCTAAAAATAAATTCACGTAACAGCAGAAATTACAAATATAATTATTGCAACTTCATTTATTTTGTCTGTCTGTAATATTCCCCCTTTCTATCATTTCTCATTTTTTTTAATCATTTCTCTCTTGATTTTCGAACTACTTTTGTAGAAGATATAAATTAAGTTCCGTGCAAATATGGCTGCATGATTTGATGGCAAAATAGTTGAGAAGCACATCAGTAGCGATAAACAATTTTGAAATTTAATTTCATAAACAAAATTTACGAAAAAATACTGAAGCAGAATGTGACACTCGATCATATCCAAATTTAACATACTAAACTGTTATACAAAGTGGATGTTCAAATTCCTTGTTTACTTGAAATAATTTGACAAATATGATCAAAAACTGACCTCCGGATGGCGAATACGTTATATCCTGCGCATGTGACATCGATGGTGGTTCATCATAAAAATTTGATGCCAAAGAGGATGATAAAAGTTTCGTCATACCTAAAATTTATTAACACCCCTAAAATTCAGATATATTATTTATTTTTTAGTACTTCTCCAACACCGCATAACTTTTCAAAAGCTATCGCATAGAAAAACGCATATTGTTAAAAGTCTCAATAAAATTTTCTTGAGATTATATCCGTAACCTAAATTCGGATAAAACAATTATCATTCATGAATAACAACTGCAAAATGGTTGTACGGTTATAAAACAAAAAAAGAGTCAAATTTGTACAGATTACTCGACATGAAGCCATATTATCCATATTCGTAGATGTTGATATCCAGATCTTTAAGTATTTGTTTTTTACGATTACGCATTTTTTCACATTTTGCTTATGTAATATTTTTTCGTTAGGTACCTATTTTATCAATGAAAATATAACCAACCATCGCCAGGCTGGCATGATTCATTGTCGTTCACACCATCAAAAGAGTAAGTAGTGAACGGTGCAAATGGATCGATATATGAATCACTGCCTGGAATAAGATACTTCCGTACTTTAAGAAATAACATCAACAATGAAACATCTCAGTTGTGGAATGATCTAAAAAAATATCATGTGATTTAGTTATAATTAATAGTTAAGTAGCATATGACTACAACAATGAAGAGCAAAAAAACTTCATTCTCTAAATCACAAATACGTTTTGGAATTACCATTCTTTTTGGATTCATTTTGGACCCACAAAGGTGGTTTTAAATCAACGAGAGAAGGAATTATTTCTGGTCCAAAATGTTTCTGGGCACTTCTGAAAAAAATAAAGAAAGATAATCACAACAATAACTTGAGTAGGATAATTATGATGCAATATGATTTTGAAAAGAATACAGAATATTTCAAACAAGAGAAGTGTAGCGTTAATTGGCACCTAGTGAACAATAAAATGATTTACCCGCAAGCAGATTCTTCGTTCCTCAGAATAGGGTTTTTCAAATATATATCATCGATGTAATCCGGTTGACCCCAAGACCGCTCAACATTTATGTCACCATGTCCAGCATGTATAAATGACCCTGTAGCATAAGCAAATCATAAACATATATTCAACAGCAGAATAAAGTCATGCTAAATCAAGCAAAAATCTATTGATACCTGGTACTGGTTTAGAAATATAAGTATCTATTCCATTTTGTTGCTGCAACGGATTAATGATCGGTACAGCACTTCCTTCTTCATTTCGCAAATGTACTGATGAACGGTAAAATGAACCAAATTTCCGCGTGCGTACATTCTGTCCATACCAAATCAAACCACTATAATGAAATACCCTATTCTTGACAAAACTATTTCGTTCATGGATATAATATTCCAGAAGTTTTTAGTAACCATATAAAAATCAAATTTAGTTATGCTCATTTCATTTTGCTTAACAGCCTTTGCTGAAATACCTATAATTAATACTGGAGATAAATACAAAACGCAAGAAATCTAATATCTTAAACTATCAGTCATTATCAGACATGACTGACAAAAAATAAAATAAAGTGAAAAGTACCTTCCATGAATGATGATAACAAGATCATTAACAACCAATTCTAAATCAATATCCCGTGACAGTACAGAAGCTTCGCGACATTCAGCTACCATAAACATGATCTAAACATATCAAAAAAAATACTTTTTTCATAATGACTGCTTCGTTATCAATTATTTTATTTGCCACTACAGTGGAGGAAACAGCTTTCGTTACTGCGATATATATTTTAAATATGTATCAGTAACTCCTGTATTCTGAACTATAAATTGTGGGACAATAACAGAAAGCTTAAAAGATTTCAAAAATTTTGGAAATATGTGAATTTTTGCTAAACAGTAATCGACAAGTTAATTAATCACAGCCACTTCATCTTTACTTAAAGAAAAATATTCGGAAAGCACCTCGGAAAGTAGGCCTTTTAAAACACTAAATTTTGGCCTTAAATTTGTTTCTAAGGACCAGCATGTAGAGATGAAATCATATAATTCGTCGGAACATCTTCGTGGTTTCGCTAATCGTTCACCAGCTTCTAGTTTCGTGAGTACCTTAAAAGATAAATCAAGCTTAATCCCTAAGCTTATAAAATTCGAGTCTTCATTCCCGAAGAGGTTCAATCCGCAAGTCTAAGAATTTAATTCTTCTTAAAATGCATTATTTTCTCCTTATCCAATTATGAAAACGCGTAAATCCATGAAAAATCTGTAATGAAACAAAAAAGCGAAGGTTTGATCAACATTTAATCATTACATCTTTCCAATTTGATCTAAAAAATGATACCTCAGCTCCACGAAGACCGATCCACGGTTCTTCGCCATACGAAAATAACTCCCATAATGTCACACCAAAAGACCACACATCAGAAGCATGTGAAAACTGTCGATACCTCAGGGATTCTGGTGGACACCTGAAAAGTGTATTTTGCAAAGGATAAATATAAATGATAATTGCAAAATAAAATTACAACAAAAAACAAAAAAATTGATCTCACAAATAAACGAAAGATGTAATACTCTACTAAAAAAGATTTCACCTTTCAAAGGTGAAAAATAATAATTCCTGGAATATTCAGAAATATGTTTATCCAACATTACCAAGGAGATTATCTTTCGTAAAATATTATAAGCTTCCTTATCATCAACTATAGCATGGTGAACTTATGGTTAGTGCTAAGTTTGTTCCTCTACATCATGTTACACTTCTTAGCCACTGTGGAGTAGCTTGATATAGTTTAAAACAAATTCGAATTTTGTTTTAAGTAGATGAATTTTCAGTCTCTAAAACTATAGTTATTCCAGTAGCATTAACGCTTTCATAGCTATTCAATCTAACAATTTTTCCTAGTTGTCCTTATGTAAATGATCATTTTATTATTCAGAAAAAAAAACAAAAATTGGAAATATACCACGCAAACGGTACTTTCTTCTGTGTTGACATAACATAAAGTCTTTCATTGTTCTCCAGTACTCGCATCAAACCAAAATCACATATTTTAGCAACCTGAAGAGAACGAAAATTTTTAACTTCGATTTGGATTTCCATTTCATAACTGCATATATCAAAGATTAAATCAATTGGTTCATGATAGGGGGACTCTACGAAACAAACGGATTTTATTTTCTTTTATGCGAAATGTGAAATCCAATACTTAACCTCGGAATGAGCACAAATAAATGCTTAAATGCGTTAAGCATCTTTGAAAGACTGATATTTAGTTGTATCCGGCATTAGTATGCTGTCAGCAGATGACCTTATTTCGAATATTCGAACTCCCCTAGTAACCTAAATAAAGTTTGAACATACACGTTCACTGCTTGTTAACAAAACATTTCGTGCTGCGAGATCACGATGCACACAGTTCTTTGATTCCAAATAAGCCATACCCTAAAAACAATTACAATCTGTGAATTATCGATAATAATACTAGTACTATTTTTAAGGGCTCAAGTCCACCAAGAAGACAATATTTTACCTTCGCAATTTGCTGCGCATAATCAATCAACATTGAAACCAGGATCACTGGCTTTTGAGTTGACCGCAACCGGTCAATCAACGCACCACCATCACAAAATTCAACCACCTAAAATCATGTCACTAAATTTCGGCATTCCAAATAGAAAATGATTTATCACGGCTATCAATCAATTAAAGATCGAGATATTGGTCGTGATATTATATCACATGATCAGTGTCACAATATTTTACGTGAGTTACAATTATTGTGACACTGATCATGCCATAATCTAGAGTACAATGCATATTTACAATCATAAACGGAAAAATAAACAGAAGATTTACCATCATAGCTGGGTTTGAAAAAACAATCCCATAGAGCTGAATTAAATTTGGATGTTTTAATTTTTGCATATTCGTAACTTCTCGCTGCAAATCTTCAATTATTTCTGGTGTAGAATCACGTAAAATTTTGGCAGCAACATCTAATTTTCGTCCCGTTTTCGGCGTCCACAAAGCACGCTTAACAACCGCAAATGACCCTTCGCCTAGCCGTTCCATTAATTTTATCTGAAGTGTTACTTACTAAAACAGCGTTACAGGTTGTGATATACAAGACGATTAATAAAACATACTAAATACTAAAAAAAAATGTATCTAACTACATATAAAAATATTGAGCTGTATAATCTGCATAATACAACACATCATTATACAGCTGCATAACACTACATATCATCACACATAAATTTTTTAAATTCTCTTTCAATCTCTTGAAAGAAGCTTCCAATGTCAATTAACCTATCTCATCAATTGATAAAATAAATTTGTAATTCAAGACACCTATCCATATATTGAAAATACCTATAAATTAAAAGTTACACAATAATTTGGTAATCACATGTGTCATGTGAACTCCTACATAATCTTTGCAAGGAATGCTTATTAAATATGAAATACAACACTTTATCTTTAATTAAAATTACGGAAATAACAATTAAATAATTAAATTTCGTTATTAAGATAAGCATTAACCTAAACTTACTACCCGTCAGATGTCCTTATTCTTACCTCATCTTTAACAATCAGCGAAGTACCACCATTTTCGGGAAAGGTCCACAACAGTTCTGTTGTATCTATAGTTGGAACGAGAACCTTCGTAACTTCACGACTTTCTTTTTTTCCAATAGATGAAAAAATCCCTTTTGATTTTTTACTTTTTTTTTTCTTCGCAATTGCAACTCGCAAACGACGAATGGCAGGTTGCGATATACCCGTATATGACTAAAATATATAAATTTTCAATTTAAATACGAGACATGATCATTTTATTGCCTGCGATGGTGAGTAGGTAAGTTATTTTAAAATGTCAGAAATTTCTCAATTCAACGATAAGAATTCAAAAAAAATCTTTAGAGAACCAGATTAGGAACTTTTCACCCAGATGTATTTTGGGGAAAATGTTAACATTTTGTTTTATAACCTAATATAGAAAGGTATATACTTTTAATTCATCATCGGTAACATGATCAAAATGCTCCAGACGTGATAACTGTAATTCCACACAGAGTTTTCGTTTGAAGTTTATTAGATCCGTCTCTTTTAAGACATCTTGAAGAGCTTCTTCTATATACATACTTTCTCCCATCTGTAATAAAACTAATATTGCCCTCCACCAGTAATCCAGTATATGAATTTTTAAACAAGATTGCACATACACATTTTTCTTTGCATATTCCTGTAAAAAATACTGATATGGATGTAAAAAATACTGATATGTTCACATCTGTACGCATAGATACATTTTTACACGCATATATTTTCTATATATACATTTGTATGTATACAATTTATAAGTACAGAATGACAATTCTGTGCATCGAGCGTAATTTCAGATTACAACTAAGTATACTTATGAAGGCAAACAAATTCCTTTAAGAAATATTTAACAAATTAAGAAACAACCCATCTCAGTTAAGTATTTATCATTAAGGATTCACTAAGCAACTCCCTCCTTTAGCTCACCTTTATTATCTCAGATAATTAAGGAGATCATTAAAAGCTGAAACAATTTAAGTTTTCTCCATTCTTTCATCCACCCTTTCCATCTGTCACAATTTGATCGGAAATCGAATCCCACTGATCTCTTCCAGTTCCTTTTACTTAACGCTACCATATAATTTCATCTACCATAAACAAAGACAACTAAAATCTCAGAGATTGCAAGTTGGAAATATGGACGCAGATTTGCAGGAAAAATTAGATCGAAAGAGGTGATACGAGGAAAAAATAAAACATAAAATACAAGAATATATACCCAGTTTATAACGACTGATAACAAAGCTAAACGATTAAAACTTAAAATCGAATGTCATGCATCTCCGATAATTTTTTGAGTGACAGTTAAAGTTTATATTACTATTTAGAAAAAAAAAAGCTAAGATATAAACAACTGTATGTATTACGACGCAGCACGTCTAAGTCTATATAAGTTAGAAACCATTCCTTCTTGTAAAGTCATTAATTTCAATGTTTGATAAAATTAGTAAGAGTGAGAAACAAAAGAAAATATTTGTTGTGATAATCGATACGCTAAACAGTTCATTAGTTAATTAGTCACGTCATTGTAAAATGTTGCACGTTTGCTGAAAAATAAGGTTCATATTACTACTTATTTTGACTGGTACTTTCAAATAATATTTGATGTTTGAAAGAGTACTCATGGAAATCCAAACTGATCATTTAGTTAGCCAACCACTATTATTATCAGACTAAGTAGTATTTCTTACTCTTTTAACGCAAAGAATAGGTCGAAGAATATCAAAGAATTAAGCAATATTTATATTTCAAACTAATCACTTCGTTAATTATCTTCAGATTGGTTAGTCGATTTCGTCATTATTATCAAACTATTCACTCCTGCAACAGTATTACCAAACTAATTACTCCCTCAGCCATTATATAAATCAATTCAAACAGAATTTCTTATACGAAAAATATTGCCATCAAGAATTAATGTTTTGATAGTTGCGAAAGAAAATTTCCTACTCTTTTCATTATTCAATTCGACTTTATTTTTTTCTTGATAAATCAATCTTTAGCCAATAAAAATAAACCACTACTGACGATGTTTTAGATAAAATTTTTTTATGCAATGCGACAAAAACTTCTTTTACTGTATGAATAAAACGAGAATTGAAGATGAGAATAGCCGGAAAATGTAGCGGTCATTATAATCTAACCCTGAAAACTTCAAAAAACTCGAACCCTTATAAAAATCCCGGAGAGACAAAGGCCTACTTGTTCGTGGAAAAAACTGCGCAATCAGTTACAGATTACAACAAACATTCAAATTTAGGAGCGCAATTCCACGCCAACATCAGCTAATGCCACAGTCCAGTCCCATCTCAACGAAGCAATATACACGCTTACCGTACTTATCGTATCAGTCTTGAAATGTAGGCTTGCTATTACAGCCACACAGAAATTATAATTTTTGTTTTCAAAAACTGAAACTTATTCTCCGTACCAATTTTGAATGATATATTCATCGCATTTACCCTATTAACTTGAAATGTAAGCTTATTGTTAAACGTAGGAAGAAGTTATAATTTGAGTTCATTCCAAGAAATTACTTTAATGAATAGTTTGTAAATTCAAAATTTGCGACAACACAAATATGCTGTCGAAAAAACAAGTTTAAAAATACATAGAAGTTGGCAAAGAGTAACAATAAGCTAGGAGGAAAAGGAATTGAAATGAATGACGAAGCAAATCGAAGGGAATTATTTTCGAAATTGAATATCTTAAGTTAATTATCATTGATAGCATGAAAGCAATACTTTCCTGCAAATGAACTTAGTATATGCTAGCCAATCAACAAATAAAGTAGAAAATTAATTCCTTTAATTGGAACTCGCTTCCTTTACCTTTCCGACTCGATAACACGAACCATACTATGACTTGCATCAAATTTCATGCTGTGATTTTCTCATCTGAGAAGTTGCCAGTAAATTTTTGCATATAAATTTGCCATCTAAGCATTTGCTAATCAACTTCTGTCAGTCGATGTTGTATTTCATACATTGATAATATAATGAATTTCTCTCATTCCATGTACGTTTCCATATTACACACAAAATGAATAAAGATCTTTGATTAGTCATAAAAATCGTTTTTAATTAATTAATACAGATTTTTGATTAGTCATACAAAATCGTTTTTAATTAATTTCGAAAAAAATTAATAAAAATGCTATTTGAAAAAGAATTGGATTGACGCACGAAATGATAAACAATGTAATCACCAAATGTGAAACCGATTGGTTTACACTAAAAAAAAAGAAGGCAATAGCGCTGCACTCCACTTCAAATTTATATTTTGTTTTTCTCAATGCATTTCATCGATGTTTTCATTTTTCAATTTATCGGCGCAATTAATGCAATACGATTCTATATAAATTTAACATAAACTAACATAAATAATCAGTAAATGAACCAATCGACAACAAAAACGATAATATGATATTTATGCAATATGTTATATGTTGTGCGATAAAGCACTAGTGATAGTAATCATAAAATAAAAATTGGGATAGCTATAAATAAATAATAAAATGTTAATAAATAAAATAAAATAATAATAAATAAGGTGGTAATAAATAAAGTAAACAGTAGTGCAACTTGATATTAATGAAAACAGCTAAATGGCATCACTTTGAAAAGAAATTTGGAAAATTCCGAATTTTTTATGCCACCTAATTTGCAAAACTATTTAACAACTCGTTCAAACTGATATTGTATCTTATATGTTTACATATCTACACTGATAAAGGGACGAAAATGACTATCAGCAGATCAAGTTGTCAATTACTTTAAGGAATCGGTCAGTTCCCGGCTAGCTGTTCAAATTAGCCCTTACTGATGTTAGAAAAAGGTGGTCACATGAAAAAGGAACATTAAATGTCTTTTAATTTATTTTTGAACATTCCACCATGACCAGGAATAATCCAGTCTGCTTCACTTAATATCATTTTACGGCTATTCTGTTGGTCTTCCGGATATTTGCTGTTTACTTTCCAGCTATTATCGTCATTTTCCTCTTCGAAAATATCGCCTAAAAATATTTTAACTTTTAATAAACTTTTTTCTATCACCATAAAAATGGAAATGGTTTACAGACCTACAATAGCAACTGTTCCATATTCAGTGCTCGTCACAATGATACTACGATCATGATCAGTGTGCCCAGGAGTTTGTCGTATCTGTACAGAATCATCTAATGTCCAAATATCCTGAAAAATAATAAATCACACAGTATTTAGCTGCACGATATAATGAAATTATATTTCTCATATAAAGTTCTGCTAATCAATGTTCTCCACTTCATCAATTATACCTTTCTTCAGAATTTAAAAGAAGTGTTCCAAACAAAATAATTTGTGAAGTAATAGAATACTAATAATAAGTAAATGATTTTGGAATGAAAGGAAGAAGGTATAACAATGATATATTATTTGTTCTTACCTCATCGTTGATGAGTATGTTTACAAAAAGGAAAATACAAATATATTTAATAGATTAATAAAGCAAACAATCAATTGTACCGTAAAAATCTCATAAATACCGTTCTTGGCCATATCATCACCCATATAAATTTTGGCTTGTTGAAAAAGTGATAAATTACCACAGTGGTCACTATGCCCATGGGTTATTATTACATCGGTAATATCATCACAAGTTAACGAATATCTCGAAAGTGCTGTAAAAATTCCTTCTAAAAGTATTAGGTAATTATTATTTATTCGTATATTCAAAAACCCATCCGAAAATGTAATTCCTTCAAAATTATTTGCAAACAATGAAATTCCTTGGTCAAGGTTTGGTGGTCATTTAACACTGGTTATTCGGTCTCCCTTCATGTAACAAATATGTGGGGAATGGAAGATAATGATAACATATTTTTGATGAATTTAAAATCATATCGATGCATATAACACAGTATAACGTGTTGCAAGATATTTCTTAATTAGTAATAGTTAGTAATATATTCTATAATTAGTAATAGTTAGTAATATGTATATAATTAGTAATATATTCGCAACATTTCTATTTCTAACTCTAAATCTCTTAGTTTCAGTAAAATTTTCCAATTCATTTAATTCAAATATAATTTTCAATAAATAGAAATAAACCTTGGACAATACATGTACCATTCCATGGATCACCACAATCCACCAGGATTTTTCTTCTTTCAGTTAAAATTAATGACACAGTGCCAGATGCCTTCGAACAACCGTTCCTTTCTGCCTGCTTACAGTAACCATTCAGCAATACAAACACCTTTGGATATTTTCCCATCTACTAACCGGGTAAATTTTTAATAAAACATTACGACAATTCCATGAATTCCACGAGAAACAACCAAAAATATAATAAGATAAAGAATTATTAGGAAATCATGAGAATGAAAATTTAACGAATTATCATATTAAGCTCAGAACGGGATGCGTTAAATTTTGAGTCATCAATTCTAAAAATTTTGAGGTGTAAGATAAGGGGGAATTGAGGTTCTAATTGTTGGACAAATACTGATGGCTTTTGATCACCAGTAAGGGATAGTTTGTTACTATTGTTAACAGATATTGGTGACCTTAGAATGATATTAAAAAGGATGTTTTTGTTACTGAATGGCTGTTACCTTTGATCGTCTTTATATATTTTTTTATAGAAAAGGTCAATGTATGTACGGCAGACTCGTTACTTACAATTCTCTCATTATTTGAAACGAGTCGGACGTTGGAGGAGCAATAGTAGTACTTCAAGTAATCAACCATTATCTTCTACATCATCAGCGACTACTTCCGATAATCAGCAGCAATATTCGGAAAGAATGATGAATGAAAATGAAATTAAACAGGCATGTTTACTTCCGGAATTTTGAAATTCATATTCTGATGGGAATATTTGTTTGCTGTCGAGGATTTTTTACTAGTATATGAAGTCGATCTTACAGGGGATTATAAATTGTTTTATTATTGTGTCAAATGTTTCCAGTCCTACTTTCCAAAAATAATTTTCAAATTTTTGATACGTACATCCAATTCGTTTATGTATACAGTAACCTTTAAATGGCTTTGAAATTCCAGATCTGCATGATCTTAAAATTTTCAAATTACCTTACTTCTATGCTTTTTGATTATATTCCTCGTTGTCTGAAATTGATTTCTGATGATTTTTAGGGATTTTTTCATGTCTTTGGTGCATTTTTCAAGTCTTTCGGGAATTTATTCTGAAAAATGGCTCAGAAATATAATGTAAGTAGCTTATTTGTAGGACTTTTCCTTTGTATGTTAAATAAAGTACTCATTTAGTTGAGGTTGTTGTCCCTAAACAGAATGTATGATTTAATGTTATTAGACATGCTGTAATACTGCTTTCATGGAATTCCATCAAATGATATGAAGATAATTTTAGGATTCACAGGCCTATAAAGGGATGATATGTGACATAGTAAAATATAATTTATATTAACTGAATAGAGAATATTCTTAAAAGCTATCCCTTCTTCTTATTCTTTTATTCTTCATTGCCTTGCTTAGAAGGCGCCAATTCAAATCTGTCAAGTTTTGAATTTTTCAAGTCATCTTAATGCTTTATTTACATGTACAGATGCTCTTTTTTCAACAATTCAGAGGAATTTTCTATTTCTGGAAAATTGAGCGAGGAAAATTACTCGGTCTCAAAAAGCGGGAAAAAAGCTTATTTCTTTCAATATTTTAAAATAATTGTTTTTAGTAGTAAGAAGAAATTAAGCTTCAAATTGATTTTCTTGTCTTATAATGTAAAGTTTAATTTTTTTCTAAAACTTTTTATTTCAGGATCACCAACGCTTCGCAAACTTATTTCGACATTCGAAATTTGTACAGCTTGCTGATTTTGAAGGGCGAATAGTTATAGGTGAAATTGTACGCCGAGTCGCGGATGATTTATATATCGATATGGGATTGAAATTTAACGCCGTGTGTAAAGCACCGATGATGAAAAACGAGTTAGTTACTTGGTTAATGCTTTCGATTGTTGATTAATTTCCAGATTCATATCAGTTTTTTTAACAAGAATGAAATTAAGTATTATTGTTGTAAATAATTTTGAATTAGCTCCTCTTTTTCCAATTCTTCTTTTCACGGGATTTAAATCGAACATGTTTCTGTCGGTCTTTTATTGACAACGATTGGAAAAGATTCAATGCAAAGTTGATTCATATGCATGAAACTCCAAGCAGGGTGCAGCTCGTCACAAATCTTTTTTAAAAATATGCTAATTGGAAGGATCAATTTCAATACTAATATTTTATCAAATTGTGATGTTTTATTGTAGCATTATTCCTTATCATTCCCTACTTTAGATTTATTCCACTACGTGTTATATAAAATATCATTCTATATTGTTTTCTCCGCTATAACAAAAAATGTGCCGAAGTAACTAATAGTTTAAAATTATATGTTTCAGAAGTTATAGAATAGGAGAGAAGGTTCTTCTTCGTTTACATGATCCCGAACTTTCTGAACTATTTTTGGGTTCTACAATAGAGTTAACGTTGTTGGAAGCAGATGCAACTCTTCTCGGTCTTTATCGTCCTCATGCGGATGAATCAATAAAAACTGCTTTCCTTGAAAGCATAGTAAAAGAAGGTATTATCATTTGCAAGTTCATTTGTTTATCTCTGATCGCTTCAATAAAATATGTTTTGGCTTTTTCATTGTTTATTTGTAGTTCGGACTTTGTTATAAAAGTTCGGTCCCTTTATAATATTTAAAATTTCATTCCAAAATCTAAACAATATATTCTGATAACAGTATGTAAAAAAGTAATCTGCTATTTGTGTATATTGAAGAACAAGCTCTAAAATTTCACTGCACATCAATTAATTTTAGTGAAGAGGATTGAAGCTTCAATGTCGAAAGGTACTGCTGGTGAATCGGAATTGAACAAATCTATTGTAAATACTAGCAAGATATGAACTCAACACTTTGTGCTGCGATGATAGGAAATAAAAATTTGAAATGAAGTTTACCAAGACAAACGTGAGATCTAAAATTAGGAATTAAATGTTCAAACTTCCAACGACAATTTGAGGAATTGAAATTGTTAAGATGCTATAAAAAGATTTTTTTTCGCAACAACAAAATTTTTACAACCATTCTTGCAAAAAGAAAAAAATAGCTTGATAAGAGAGAATAGAATAAAATATAACTGATTTGATTATGTAATCTCAGTTTTTTCAATCACTTTTACGCTTTACGACAAATTCGCCGAGAATTCAACAAGTTTCGTTGCTTAGTTGGTATTGCTTACCCCGTGATATGTTAATTCCATTATTTTTTGTTAATTTTCATGTTATGGAACAATTTCCTGATTTTATCATTTCATTATTTCACCTTTCCTTATGAAGCCAAGCTTTATATTGAATAAATGTTATATTTTTGGTAATGCGTAAATATGTTCCAGTTAACGTACATAGTTCATCAATTTACCTAATGTTGTTTTTGTTTTTTTCAGATTTTGCGGGACAGAATTGTGTCTGTCGTAATAGTGTCATTTACTCGATCACTCATGATAATTAATGATTTAACAATTTCGGTGATATTTCAAGAAATGATACCCTGGCACTTTCATACTATCAAATCGTTGTAATAATGACGAGTGAAGATTTGCTCCGTAACTGTGGGGAAACATTGCAATGGAGACAGATTAGCATCGCGCTTTTTCTCATTTTCTAAAATTATTGAATTTTTATTTCAGAAAATAATGGAGAAATCAGTGCCGACAGGTTCTCCCGAAGATGACTTTGGTCTCTTGAATGCTGATACGAATCAGACGAAGCTTTTAGTACGATCGGATACTATCGTGCCATCAGCTGGTCGAGAAGGTACTTCGATTGCACCGCAGATTTACAGAGGTCGTACTATGGCTGTTTTCACCAGCGGTGGTGATGCATCTGGTATTTCTACTTTTTTTCAAATAATAAATGGCTAAAAAAATGTTTTACGGAATCATTACAATTTATAGATTGTGCATTATTTCCATTCCAGTGATGTCATAAGTACTATATTTCAAAGTTTAGGAGTCTTAGTGAATAGTCATAAAGCAAGCAAATAGATTGTGCATTATTTCTACTTCATTGATGTCATAAGTGCTGTATTTCAAAATTAAGTCTTAGTGGTAAGTCATAAAGTGAGCAGAAAGATATTTCGATTTTTAAGGAATGAATAGCGCTGTACGCTCAGTGGTTCGAATGGGTGTTTATCTTGGATGTCGAGTTTTTCTCATTTATGAAGGATATCAAGGAATGGTAGATGGTGGAGATAATATAAAAGAAGCAGATTGGCAATCAGTATCGGATATCATACAGCGTGGTGGTAAGTTACTAATTGCAAAGAATCTAAATGGTTATATATAGAGTTATTTAAATATTCCTTTTTCAAGAATTGTGAATCTTTTTTTTCTTTTTTTGTTCTTTCGTGTAATCTTTAAGGAATAGTACTGTTATTGGAGTTTAGGCACTGTTATTGGATCAGCACGTTGCAAAGATTTTCGAGAGCGATGGGGACGTTTGCAAGCTGCTGAAAATCTTATCAAACATCGCATTACCAATCTTGTATGTATTGGAGGTAAGTCTATTATTTGTATTTTTTGAATTTTCATAACCGTTCCTCTGTTTTTTTACGGAGTGTTGGCTTTCTGAATGGAAAATCCTATTAGCCGATAGTTAGAGATATTAGAACGTTATTTATTTAGTTCGAGCGTTGAATATTTGTATCTAACCAATCACTTCAACCTTGTTTTTGTCTTTCCCTTCTCTTTCGTTTTCATAGCATGACTTCTGTCTTTCAGTGAAGGAGGATTAGTCTCGATAATATTACTGTTGCAATAAGTATAAAAAGACCTCCCTAATTCTTTCATTAATGCGACATATTAATTATTAAAATATCGAAATCAAATTGTTCAATTTTAATTTTGTTTAAATTTTTATATATATTTGAATGTTTCAATATTATTTCTGCAGTTGTGGAAAGTAATAATTCTTCATTTTCATACAGGTGATGGTTCATTAACGGGCGCTAATCTTTTTCGACAAGAATGGCATGAATTGGTAGAAGAGCTTTTGTCAAATGGAAAAATAACAAAAGAAGAGGCGACGGAATGCAGTAACATCCAGGTAAAATTTGAGACTAAATTTTTTCTTCGTATAGCTTTAACTTCCTATAATTTTAAGAACACGTAGTACAATCAATTTTTCTTGTGTGTTGGGGTAGGTTCAGGACTTTTAGCATTAAATTCGCGATTCCCGAGATTTTTTTGTCTTATAAAATAAACATTTACATATAGCTTGCATGCTAAATTAATGCAAGCTAAATTATACGTAAAATTATTTTAGAATTACCATAATTGTAGTACAATCAATCTTTCTTATGTGTTGGGGTAGGTTCAGGACTTTTAGCATTAAATTCGCGATTCCCGAGATTTTTTTGTCTTATAAAATAAACATTTACATATAGCTTGCATGCTACATTAATGCAAGCTAAATTATACTTAAAATTTAAAATTAAAATTAATTTAAAATTATTTTAGAATTAATTTTTAAAATTATTTTAGAATTACCATAACTTAGATTCAGTTAGCTTGAATATTCCAGATTGTTGGACTTGTTGGTTCCATTGACAACGATTTCTGTGGCACAGATATGACCATTGGTACTGATACAGCGCTGCAACGGATCTGCGAGGCAATTGATTGCGTCATGTCAACAGCGCAAAGTCATCAACGTACATTCGTTATTGAGGTCTTGTGTATCTTATCAAAATGAACGAAATAAAGTGAATACAATTATTTCGTTTAAATTTTCGGGATAAATTCATGATCCATATGAAAGAAATGAGAGAGAGAATGGAATGAATATTAATAGTTATTGTTCTATTAATATTTCTCCATGATTTTCTTTCATTGAATTTGACAAGAAGCAAGTTTAGGTGATGGGTCGTCATTGTGGTTACTTGGCACTGGTTGCTGCACTAGCTTCTGAAGCAGATTTCTGTTTCATACCGGAATGGCCAGTACCAGCGGATTGGCCCACAATATTATGCCAGAAACTGCGAATGATGCGTGAAGCAGGGTCGCGTCTAAATATTGTGATTGTTGCAGAAGGCGCACTGGATAGGGAAGGAAAAAGTATTACCGCTGAAACGGTATGTATTTCAATAATTTTTTTTTTGAAACTATTTTTTTATAAAATAATTAAAGCTTTGAATTGCTATTACTTAGGTTCGTGCAGTCGTAAAGGAAACTTTGCATTACGACACACGTGTGACTGTGTTGGGTCACGTACAACGTGGCGGTAATCCATCAGCTTTTGATCGATTGCTTGGATGTCGTATGGGTGCGGAAGCGGTACATGCTTTGATGGAAATGACACCGCAATCAGAACCTTGTGTTGTTTCGATTGATGGCAATGTGATTGTACGCGTTCCACTCATGCAATGTGTTCAACGTACACTAGCGGTATTTTTTGCTATCTTTCTAGAAATGCGGATGTATGCATCCAACTTATATTCACACAAACGAAAAATGAACTACATCGAAAAGACAAATAGTTGAAAAGTCCTGAAATGTTGTTGCGAGGTTAACCTTTTTATTCTAAATTAAGATATGTATTAAACAGTCGAAAATTTTTCTAGGTAAAAAAGGCAATGGACGAACGTGATTGGGAAACAGCTGTGAAATTAAGGGGTCGAAGTTTTCAACGAAATCTTGAAACTTATCGTTTGCTCACAAAAGTGGAACCGAAGAAAGTTGATGCAAATGCACCAAATTACAATTTAGCTGTAATTAATGTTGGTGCACCTGCTGGTGGTTAGTTATTTTTTGTTTAATCGAGAAGAGGAAAATAAATTTAAGGTTGCAGGGAATTGTTTTTTAGAGACTACCACTTTTTGTCATAACCATTCATAAACGCTTTGCTTAGAGAAAAAGTTTTTCATTTTTGTTTGCAGGAATGAATGCAGTAGTGCGTTCGTATGTCCGTATGGCACTTTATCGTGGATGCAGAGTTTTTGGTATAAAGAATTCATTCGAAGGGCTTTGTCGGGGAGAGGTGCAGGTAAGCGAGTAAAGAATTCCGTATCAATCATAGAAGTTTTAAGGTTGGGGAGAAGAAAGGGAACGAAGAAGGAAGTTATTCAATTTATTCTGCTACTTTGTTTGTTGTTTGTCCTTCATGAAAAAACTGCTTAAGAACATGGCTTGGGGCGATGTCAATAACTGGGTAATGTACGGTGGCTCATTTCTTGGAACACAGAAGCAATTGCCCGATAAGATTATAGATAAAGTTGCTGATGCGTTTGAAAAGTACAAATTTCATGGATTACTACTTGTGGGTGGATTCGAGGCAAGGCTTAACAAATTATTCGTAATAAATTTTTGTGACTTTTCCAGCATTTTTGTGTTAGACAAAAATAATTTAAAGATTTATTAATAAAGCTTATCTTTCGTTTAGTATGCGTCCTATTAAAAACATGGTTGTACTATGAATACGGCTGAGTATTAAGACAACTAAACTACTAAACTACTGATGTTTTTTTCTTTTTATTATCGTTTTGAATTTATTCAGTAGATACTAAGCTTCTATCAGCATCTATCAAAATGTAGTGATGATGATCTTCAAACTGCCATGAAAAATAATACTTACTTTCTTTGCTGCTACATCCATTTGAAATCATTGCTCTTAAGCACTAATCATAATGCCATTATTCATGAGTAATGAAAATTAGTAAAAAGTTGTTTTCCAGGCCTTCCATTCTTGCTTACTTCTTTCACGTGCCCGTGATAAATATCCATCACTACGAATACCAATGTGTGTTATTCCATGTACAATCAGCAATAATGTTCCGGGAACGTCACTTTCGCTTGGTTCTGATACAGCTGTTAACGAAATTTGCGAAATGATTGACAAAATCAAACTATCAGCTACTGGCACTAAGAGACGAGTTTTCATTATCGAAACAATGGGTGGATTTTGTGGTTATTTGGCAACTATTTCGGCGTTGGCATCTGGAGCTGACAATGCTTATATCTTTGAAGAGCAATTTAATGTCTCTGACATTATGGATGATGTAAAGGTAAGATTGTTGCATATTTCAACTGATACAACCGTAGAAGAAAACTACTAAATGTCGAAACACATCAACTTAAATGAACTAAAAAGATTCAATAAAGGAATCAAACTATTAACAGTTTATGGAATTATTTGATGACCATATGTCTCGATTTGAATAAAGATTGCAAGTTTAAAATAATTTTGTCAAGTTGATGCCACACTTCGATAACACTAAGACTAGTGCTTCGGAATTTGTTCTGAATTTAATGCTTTTGAAATATATGGCATTTACTTAATCATCTACGATATAATGATATCGTAGATGACTTGAACGTTTATCGCAGAATACCTTCCAGTGGTCCTGCAATTTTTATTGTAGCAATTTAATTTTAGTGAAACATTTCATCGTTGCAGGTTATTATTAGTAAAATGCGTACCGGCGTGCAGCGTTACTTAATTGTACGTAACGAATGTGCTAATAAAAATTATACTACAGAATTTGTGAATCAGTTGTTCGCTGAAGAGGGAAAGGGGGCGTTTTCGACAAGGTTACCTTCTTCGATCTTCGTTGTAGTCCCGTTCCTAGAAAACTTTGGGTTTTTTTGGAAACATGGATGTCTTAACCAGCATAGTTAGCATGACTTTGCTTTTGTTTTCAAAATGAGTTGAATCAAACAAGCAGTCTCCAGTTTTTTGAATTCAATTTTCAGAACCAATGTGCTGGGGCATGCGCAACAAGGTGGAAACCCAACACCATTCGACCGTAATATGGGAACAAAACTTGCAGCCCGTGCATTAGAGTTCATTATTTCGCAAATAGTGAAATATGTTGACCCAAAAGCTGGTATTGTAAATGCCGTTTCTCCGGATAGTGCTACACTGTTAGGATTGATGGTAAAAAAATATTTCATTTTTTAATTTCATAAATGTAAGTAACTGACTGGGTAAGAAAGAACATCTAGTTAGATTAGATGGGATTTAATCGTATAAGATTTGAATGAAAACCGCAGTAATAGGTTGTATTAACAAATACCATTTGATTTTCAGGGTCGTCGTACGGTATTTACACCAGTGGAAAAGCTATCGCTGGAAACTGATTTCGAACATCGTGTACCGAGGCACCAATGGTGGATGAAGATGAGACCGCTGCTAAGAATATTAGCTAAACATGATTCTACATACCGGACGGAAGCTATGATGGTACCGGAGGTGGAGGGTGAAAGCAGTTGAACCTCAGTGGCATAACAATTTTCTCTTTAACCGTAGAAACTTCTTCCATATTGTCTCATGTTTATATTAATTGGTAAGCTTTAAAATGGTGAGAATAGTATAATCGCCAGTGAAGTGAAATCACCGCTGGTGATTCTATCTTTATATTGTTTTCGAAAATACGACATAGAAATCTTAAATAAGCTTATACAGCTTATAACATTAGCATTTCTAGAATTTTGTGATGTTAGTCTAAACCTTCATTATCATTTATTAGTATTCATTTATATTTATTATTAAAGTTCTTCTTCCTTTTTAATTTATAGCTAAATAGAAATTTATTCTTCATTCTTAGACTTAATTACTATTAGCATTTGCCTTTAATAGCATTTGTTTGTGTAGCAACCATAATTTATTTCGTTGATATTAGTTTGCATAAAATTTGATATTTTTCTATTGTCCACAACAATATTTTCCTTTGTTATATGGCCCTACTCCTCCGAATGTTCTGCTTTTGGCTTCAAGCAAAAAACAAAATTTTTCGTAATTTATGAAACATGCAACATGTATTTCCATGCAAATTATAGTATTCATTTGGAAATCTGGCATTATATGGAAGTAAGATTCCGGGGGTTATTATTTGATAAAGTTTCATAACAATTGCACTGACATACTCATCCGTATGACTGACTACGAGCCATATGAACTTCACGATCTTACCACGGATATATGTAACATTGTATATCCATGATTCCATCGCATTTCTTAAACTAGCGGGAATAATGAATGATAGGAGATATGGTGCTACTCTGGAATATATAGACACAGACATCGAGAGAGATAAGAAGGAACACGTGTTCAGACATGCAAACATATGCAGACATACATGTAAGGAGACTTTAAAATCGACCAGCTAAAGCGCGGAATGTCTGTGTTCGTACATTCCGTTACCTAGACTTCTCACTCTCTCGCAAACGATCTTTCCTCATTCCTTTTGGTTCGGAATTTCAACTTATTGGGGGGAAGTAATTCGATTTATTAAAGTTCATTTGGCCCCCTCTTGTACTATCTTTACGTGTCTTCCGCTATTATGCATAATTTTTGTCAGATACATCTCTACACTACATATACTCTACCATTGCATGCATTCCTTCCTTCCTCTCTCATTACGTATTTTAGTAGACTTTCATTACATATACTAGTAGGATTTCATTACATATACTAGTAGGCTTTCATTACGTATAGTAGTAAGCTTTCATTACGTATACTGGTAGGTTTTCATTACGTATACTAGTAGGCTTTCATTACGTATACCGGTAGGCTTTCATTACGTATAATATTAGGCTTTCATTACGTATACTGGTAGGTTTTCATTACGTATACTAAGTAGACTGTATGATATTACATTTCTCTTTCTTTAATATAGTTTTAATAAGTTAAATTGATGTTAATCTCAAAATAACTACCAAATAGGCGAGGAATTATTGCTACATAGTACAATCTGTGTCTGAAACTGTTGGTTATTTACTTGAGCTGTTACTTCATTCAAAACCTGTTTTATGTTATGAAATTGCACATATTATGACTGTAAATAGCAAATGACGTAAGTAGATATAGATGTAGCTAGTATGCATATAGCTTGCCAACTGACTAAAGTTTTAGATGTAAAATAGATAGAGAACGTTGACGGCAAAACGTAAAATTTCTCAGTAGTTTTATTCTTCATCTTACAAAATTCGCTTATTGAAAAGATTTTCTGTTTTGCACTCATTTGAATATCTCATTTCTAAAAAATCTGATTACGTGCAAAAGTTTTCAGTACACGAAGTGTGTATTCTAATACGTGTGATGCTTTGTGGCCTATAATTTATATTATTCAGATATTTTTGTAACTGATATTTTTACCTTATGTTACGAAAAAAAATTTTCGTTTTAACACTTTCTCGAATCTAACTATAAATTTATATATAAAATTTCTAGCACTATCCTTCGTACATTTTTGCGTGGAATACAAAAGAAAATGACACTGAATAAATTATCGATCGATAAAGTGGATGTAAAGGATAAAAGAGTCCTGATTCGGGTCGATTTTAATGTACCGCTTAAAGATGGGAAGATTACGAACAACCAACGTATAACGGCTGCAGTACCAACTATCAAGGTAAGTTTATCATGATTTTTTGATTTATAGTATTAACTTTTTCCTGATAGTAATCCACCAATATAAATTACGCAGGTGTATTGTCGTTTATAGTGTAGAATTTGATTTCATGAATGAAAATTTTAAAAAGAAATAAGCAGAAGGAAATAGTTCATACATGCAGGAATTGTCATGAGCTCCAAAATTTTACTGGTATTGCATTATTGCAGTATGCGCTAGATCATGGTGCAAAGGCGGTAATACTAATGTCACATTTGGGACGTCCAGATGGGATGAAAAAAATGGAATTCACATTGGAACCAGTTGTAGCGGAACTGAAAAATGTTCTCGGCAAGTAAGCAATAATGTATTTATTTCAAAATTTGCATTTGATAATCTATTCAGAAAAGAAAAATGCAGCCGAGATAGTTGTTTATTATGCGTTATTACTTCTCATTATCCAAAAAGCGAGAAATTAATTTTTCGAATAGTAGTTTTGATATATACTGCAGGGATGTCACATTTGTTCATGATTGTGTTGGACCAGAAGCTGAAAAAGCTACAGCTAATCCTGCTCCTGGCAGTGTTATTTTACTTGAAAATCTTCGATTTTATTTGGAAGAAGAAGGAAAAGGTGTGAATGAAAAGGGCGAGAAGGTATAATTATTTGAAATGAAATTATCAGAAAAATATGAATATTCTACTGTTTTTTTAAAAATGGATTATCTGGATTGACCGATCATTCAGTACATTATCAAATCTCTCAATAGTATGGGCCTCCATATAGTTGTTACTAAGGGAAAAGAATCGTTTCGTTAATCTAGCTGTTAAATAAGCTAGCGACGAAATTTATGAATTATTCGTTCGATTTCCTGAATTTTGAAAATTGATTATATGGATGTTCTGAAATTGTCGAGCAAGAAGTATTATTTTCTAATAATAATTGAATTGATGTTGCGTTCATTTTAGATAGTTGATTAGTCGTTCCGTTAATTATGATTTTTCTTCTTATTTTATCTAATTTTAGGTCAAGGCATCACAAGCTGATATCGACAATTTTCGTGCATCTCTGACAAAACATGGCGATGTTTATGTGAATGATGCATTTGGTACTGCACATCGTGCGCACAGGTAAATATTGTTTTACTTTATTTTATACATACCAAATAACATTATTCAGAAATTGAAACGAATACATCTTTTCTCACCGTGATAGAGCTTATCTGCCAAGCATTTACTGTTAGGAAGAGATGCACGATGTCGGCTTTTTAGTCATTTATTTCAAGCAATCCGCTGGTTTTATTTTCTATCAAACATTATGTTGTAGTCTTTTAAAACAATTTAAGTTTCACTGAGTTTGCGATAAGATCTGATTTGATTTAAAAGCTATAGTGTCATCTGGTTATTTACTCATTATTTACTCATTTCTCCTTATTTAAATTTTCTGTTGTAATCATTATAATAGTTGTTTTCAGCTCTATGGTTGGTGTAAAATTGGAGAAACGTGCTACAGGTTTTCTGATGAAGAAAGAGTTGGACTATTTTGCAAAAGCTCTGGATAATCCTGTCCCACCATTTTTGGCAATTTTAGGTGGTGCTAAAGTGGCAGACAAGATTCAACTTATTCGCAATCTTTTAGATAAAGTAATATTGAAACACTTATTGATAAAAATTATTTGTGTAGGTTGTTTTTAAGAGAAATAACGATTGGACAGTTTTGCGGTTTTTACATTTTTTTTACGCCTAAACGAGTACTTTGTTGTACGATCGAGTTTTCATTTAATTTTCATTAAAATATTGTCGACTTTAAATGAAAAATGATCATTCATTTATGTTTTCTATCTCTACTTGAAAAAAGTAATGCGTTTTAAGAGATTAAGTGTGAAAAGAGTATTTGATTCACACACAACCATCTTCATCTTGTTTAAACAGGTTAATGAAATGATCATTGGTGGTGGAATGGCCTATACATTTTTGAAAGTTATTAATAATATCAATATCGGAAAATCACTTTTTGACACAGAGGTAAGTAGATAACTACTAAACCATACAGTAACTTTTATGTTGAACTTTTGCTGTTATGCTTTATCGTGTTATCCATCATAAAATTTTTCATCATATTTATATATATATGTAATTCAACTGATCGTTACTGACACTGATTAACTTCTAGTATCGTAAGTGGTACAGTAAATAGATGTATATATATACCATTTATAATGCCTATAGTATAGATACAAGAGTATTTATAGCTTATTCTCATTTTATCACCTGCCTTTGAAGTGGAATCAGTACTATTAATATAAAAGTGTGTGATTTTAAGTAATAATGTCGAAAGCATCTCCGGAATATTTGACTGATCTTAATGCTAATGGATAACTGGTATAAATAGAACGTTTTATTGCAGGGTGCCAAAATAGTGAATGAATTGATGGATAAGGCTAAAAACAAAGGCGTGAAAATACATTTACCGATTGATTTCATTATTGCTGACGATTTCAAAGAAGTATTAATTCTCTGTTTCATTCTGCAGTGATAAAGCCTTAAAAAGCAATCTTAAAAAGCAAATTTCCGGTCCAAAGCAATAGTTTTTTTCCAGAACTTTTTCCAATGGTTTTGTCGTGCTTTATAACAAATCAAGTTTGCTATTGTGTTTTCTTTCAGGATGCTCAATTCAAGACAGCTGATCTCAAATCAGGTATTCCGGATGGATGGATGGGTCTTGACATTGGACCGGAAACAGCAAAGCAATTTGCTGAAGTTGTGGGACGTGCGAAAACTGTTGTTTGGAATGGACCGGCTGGCGTTTTCGAATGGGAGAATTTTTCGAAAGGAACAAAAGCAGTAATGGATGCTGTTGTTAATGCTACTTCCAAGGGCGCCGTTACTATCATCGGTTGCTATTTTCATTCTTCGTTCTTATTTGACTTTATTTTATTTACATCCATATCGTTTCAAAAACTGCATTTCACTTTTATGAGATTAAGCAATATAGTTTGAATATTAAAGGTGGTGGTGATACGGCAACATGCTGCAAGAAATGGAAAACTGGTGACAAAGTAAGCCACGTTAGTACTGGTGGTGGTGCAAGTCTAGAATTGCTTGAAGGTAGCTGCTTTATTTCTCTATAGATTAGTGAAAATTACTTAGTTTCGGTGTTGAGAAGTGTTTCCCATTAAATATTTTGGGATCCTTAAGACCAGATATTATTAAATACATAAGCCACCTTCTAATTTCCTTTAATTTTTTACTTCAAAATTTTCCTTTATGTTGCTTTCCTCTTGCAAACTGCATCCGAGTCCTCATGGAGAGATGACAACTTTATTTTTACGTTTGATTACAAATCTTCGACTGATCGTAGATGACATAAGTAATATTAATCTTTTTTAAACGCAGAGCAAAGGAAAATGCCTTGTATTTCAACTTAATGCTTGTGTTTCAGGAAAAGTACTACCTGGTGTTGATGCGCTTTCTCCAGCTTAAACAACATAGGTAACTACGAAAGAAGTTACTGTTTGAAATACTATTTCATGCTGGTGATATTATTGATAATAATATTGTCATAATACTATTAGCGATGGGGTACTATATGTGTGTCGACATGCAAATTAATTTATAAAAAGTAGCATTTAATTATTTTCGAGTAGTATATTAAAAAGAAACCCTTTTTTCCCTATTCTTAAATTCATTTCTAGTAAAACGTTTTTTTTTTTTGTACAGAAAGTGTTTTAACATAATTATATCATAACGAGGTCAGATTTGGATTATCCCTCACTTTTGACATTTTCGTATCATACAGTACATATATAACTAGGAAGAGTCAATACCTGCCTACACTTCACAGTGATTACACATCGATTTACTAAGACAAGCTGCTCATTTCGACAAACTTATCTGTGAACGACCCTTTAATCCTCCTCGCAGATTTCTCTACCGTCAACTTGTCTTGGACCTTAAAATTTATTGAACATGTTGGCGCTACAAGAACAAGTCTTCCAAAATGTTTGCTAAATTACGTTTGATTAAAGATTATCTAGAAATCAATGAAAAATCGGATAAAAATTTAAAATAAGCATAAGACAACCAGTAGGATTTGTGCATCATGGAGTATAAATAATGCAACAGATGATGTTTTTAATAAGATTCAAATCAAATCCGTTAATGGTCTCTAATAAAGAAATAGATAATAAAATTTGTTCGGGAAATTTTTTCTGAAATTTCAAAATTTACTGAAAACAAGTCGAACCTCTCTCAAAATGATATCAACAATGTCTAAGTTGGCCAAACTTTTGATTATTTTAAAATATAGATTTTATGCGTGGACTTCCTACTAATTTATTCGCTAATATTTATCAATATTTACCAGTTATGAATCACGTTAGATTTGCAAGATGATTTAACATACATTAAAATCAGGACTATTTTATACAGGAATGTGATTCCGGCCCTTTTAGATGAATCATGTTCTGACACATCAGATTATCATATGTAAATCTCTCGAAGCAGTTCGGTACCTACACCTACAGTAATAGAATTATATCGTTGGATGCAGTAGAGATAATTTGCCAGTAATTCAAATTATCATGTAATACCCAATCAATTAATCTGTTGGTTCTGTAGTGTTTTCTCAACCTTCTGTAAATCTCCAGAAACATACCCCACTTTATCTCAGCATTGCCTAACTCAGAAGAAATTTCGCTAGAAATAATTACAAAAAAAACAGAAAGGATTTTTTGCTAGACAGATATTTCAAACAAATTCTCAGTCTAGAATTATTCTAACCACCTTTATTAATTTTTTTTTTAAAATATGCAACAATTGCAGTAAGTAAAATAACAACTGTGTTATTCTTTACGTAATTGCCAATCTAACGAAGCCAAAGAAACAGCAATGAAACAAGGATTGCTATTTAATATTAAATACTGCAACGCACGCTGCAATAATTCACGTGTTAAATCAAATTAATCCATAATTAATAATGCTGTGACGAATAATGCTAGTTGTCACCAAAAAAATGCTTTAAAAATAAAGGAAAAAAAGATATATAAAAATTGACAAATTATAAGAAGTTTCATTTTTCTTGCAGTTGTTACGTTGAAAAAGTTTGTTTAAAAGGAAAAACTTTGATAGAGCGTTAATGTTATAATCGATTTTATTGATGTGTATAATTTATCGAGAAAAAATGATGAAAGAATTGAAATTGAAAATAAACAAATTAAGTGATCATCAGTTGGATAGGATGATTGAATGTACTAAATGCTCAATTGCATATTTACCAAATTTAGATTAATGAAATTTATCAAATAATTTCAATGGTATATTTGTTTAATTTCAAATCAAAAATTTCAATTTTACAATTAAAATGTGAATAGCAGCTGGAACAGCTTCATTTTTCCCCTAAATAAATCAGTAATTAGGATTAAGCGTTGAATAATATTTGATCGAAATTAGGAAATTCCTCAAAAGAAATAAATGTAGTTGGAATTTTTTTTTATGCTTCATTCCTAGTAAGAAATTGAAATTATGAATTAACTTAAATATCAGCAAATTAGATATAGCACAACTTTATGATATTTAGTATATCGTTAATGTATTGCAATGCGATGTCTACGACCATACCACGTTGAAAGCACGACATCTCGTCCGATCTGTCAAGTTAAGCAACGTTGGGCCTGGTTAGTACTTGGATCGGAGACGGCCTGGGAATCCCAGGTGTTGTAGACATCCTCTCTTTTCTGTTTTTCAACAAAATGTTTGCAACAATAATTACGCAAAGTTAAAATCTAACGATAATTACGCAAAGTTAGTTATCAGATGAAAGGCATAAGTATAAATGGTCCGAGAAACTTGTCGAGAATAAAATGAAAAAATAAATAAATAAACAAATATGAAAGCCTACCTATTAGCGAAATGTTTTACAGATACTTTGCTTGTGTAGGCAAAAAATGATTTTTCAAGATTTTTAATTTTAAAACAATAAATAAACTGAATCATTTCATTGTTTATTCATTAAAATTTTTTATTTCATTTCATTATAATCGTTTTTTTGAATGTGAAAAATAATTAAATTAAATTTTAATTATCAATCGTTTGAGGAAATGGATTCAGTGAAATTTTTATTAAATTAACTGTTCAAATGAAACATTTTAAATTAGTTTATTGGGAGCTTTTTTACCTTTCCCTTTCCCTTCTTACTAAAATTATTATTATCCGATAATGCTTGAGGGAAAACTTATATTAAAATCTGTTCAGCATATTCACATCCAATAGGGCAAAAAAAAAAGGGAGGCTTATATGTAATTATTATAAGTGTGTAGAGAGGTGTGCATATCTCTCCTTCTAACACAATTTCATGAAATTACTTAGATTTGACATTCAATAAAGAATAAGCATAAATATCTGGAACGTTGTAAAGCATGAATAGAGAAGGATGATGACGATGATGATGATGATGATAAGGATGATGGTGACGACGATGTTCTTTGAATATACGAACGATGATTATGAATGAGGACAGAATAATGGCAGATCTTATTTTACATATAGGAATGATGATTATGGTTATGATAAAGATATACAGCGATACATGCTTAGCAACGCTACCGCTCAATGGAAGAAAACAAATGTTTCCCATAGTTACGCATATATTTGTTTCACTTCAGAATTTCTTCAAACTATTTTTATCCTTTCATTTTATAATTATCAATTCACGAACATTCTTATAATTAATCAAAAAATGGGTAAGTTCGTTTTTGATATCATTTCTAAACATTTGCTAAGTAACTTTTACATTGTTGAATATTATGCGAAATTTCCGTCATTACTACTACAATTTAGGATGAACAGAAAAAAGAGAAAAATTTTAAAAAGTGCTTGAGAAATTGTTTATTAAGCAATTAATTATTCGTGTTCCTTGGAGAAGAAGTAGATATCTCAAACTTTTTGTTAAACTTATTAGATCAGAGTTATTCCGACTATTGCTAAAGGATAAAGCACATAATATTCTGTTTTTATAATTGGAAAATTTACAACATAGCAAAAGATGATAAATAAAAGACTATTTTGTTTCAGCTAATCTGCCAGGTGAAAATGAAGAAGTACATCCTTGTGAAATATGTGGACGAAATTTTGTAAAAAACAGTTTGGTATGCGCTAATTAATATTAATAGCCTTCTTAAGACAATTACAATTTAGCAATTTAATTATAATTTATCACTTTTTCCGTTTTAATTAAATAATGCAAAAAAAAAAGTTATGATTATTCTTAAAACAGAATGCATAGTTAAAATGATAGAATTGTATAATTAGGAAAGAAAAATGAGATCAACAAATAGTAATTTAAAAGATAATTACTTAAAAGAATTATTCAGGTTAAACATGAAGTAATATGTCGAAAAATGGCAGGTGCAAAACGGAAAGTATTTGATTCCGGTAGACAACGAGCAACTGGATCTGATATCGCTATTGATAATGTCATAAATGCTCGAAAAGAACGCGAAAAGATTGGTTATTTATGAATAAAATTAATTAAGAATAATTGACAAAAACTTCTCTGTTCAGAAAGTGTAAAGTATACGGCTCAAATGCAATAGCTTAGTCATTTAACCGTATGTACGTATTCGTTATAACCGGAATACAATAATATATCATCATTTATAAAGCACATAGCACAAAATGATCAAGAATATGGTAAAAAAAACCGGAAAAGAATGACAGTTTTTCATTTTTGGAGAAAGCTTAATCATATTAGCATCCGAAAACAATTACAGTAAAATTTTTTATTTTATAAAATGCTCATTACCTGCTCAGATCAATAGGTTATATCAATTTTTCATACAACGAAGTGGGAAAAGCAAAATATAACATGTTTGAATGATTGTCAAAAGTCAATACGATAAAATTCAAAATTTCCTTCTTTTAAAACAAATTTAAATGTTCTTTTAAATGAACGTTATGAATTAATTAATTACAGCTGGGTGGCACATTTCCAAGACCTAAAACAAGTTGGCGTGAAAAACATGAAACATTCATTAATGCTATATCAACATCTAAACCAACCAACTATACATTTCGTTCTGATATGCCTTTTTCATCATTACCAAAAATGACAGTACCAAAAGGTTAAGCTTAAATTTTACTACTACCAAAATAACAAGTTATAAGTGAAGATATTTATAAAATATTAACTAAAAATTTTTCAATTTCATGAAGCTTATCTGCCAATTAGATGTAAGGTTGAATTTGTTGTATATTAGCAGAATGTTTATTTTACCTTAATTTTAAACAAATTAGAAAACAATGATGCAATTATTTCGATTATTTTACTAAGTTGCTCAGTCTTTTTTGTCAAATTAAATCCCGAATTATGGGAAATATAATATGCAAATTGATAAAAATGACATTTTAATAATTCAAACGACAAATCAGACAGCTTATATTTTAAGCAGTAAGTAGTATTTATGAAAACTTCTGGAATAATATTAAATAATTTAGTAATCATCAAAGCTCCCATTTTTGCCACCTTAAAACTTATCAGTTATCAATTTATTGTATTCATGTTTTTCATATTTAATTAATACAATTTTCAAAGTGAATAATTTGTCACTTTATAATAAGTTTATTTTTTAATATGTATTTCAATAATAAGTATTTATAATGCATAAGTCTCTAATAACAGTAAATATTGCAAATGAATTAGTAAAGACTTCATTAGCCCAAATGTTAGATGCATATTTCTTATTCATATTATGGAAGATAAATTTTGAAAATTCTTTTGATTTAAAATAAAAGAAAATTTATAGAATAATTCGATATGTTAAGTATAATCAAAATTATCAATTACACTTTATATATTAATTGATTATAAGAATTTGTTCAAATTCATGCTATAAAAAATATAATAAATATTCTAATTCTAATTCTAAAATAAGGTATTCTAATTCTAATTCTAATTTCATTAATGACATAATAAAATTTCGTTCGCAATAAATGATAAAACTTCAATTGGACAAATACAAATATCTAAAATAAAAAATGAAATTTACTTTTATTTTTAAATTAATTCAAATATCTTATTTTGGGGAAAAGAAGGAGTTGAGCATTATAAGTTGTATTCGATGATTTATCAGCGTTACATTGATAATTGATAGTGTTCATATGTACTAAACGAATGATGCCAGTGATGTAATTAGAAAAAGCAATTGTTTTCATTTGATAAGTTTGTTGTACATTAATTTGAGTAATGCTTCCATTAGTTTTGCCGTTTTTTTTCTTTATATTAATTCTAATTGAAGAAAAGTTTATTTTAAAACTTTTTGATTCATACAATAATTATAAAATAAGAATCATATCTGTTAAGTCATTTTAGATTATGTTAAATGCGAATATTGTGGGCGTAGTTTTAATAAAGCCGCCGCAGAACGGCATATTCCATTTTGTAAAACTCAACAAGAAAAGAAAGGACCAATGAAGGTAAAGAAGTAATAGTCGGCAAAATTTTTTGCTTTCATTAATTTAATAAAATTTAAAATAAAGTCCTTTTATTTTCACTTATCACAGTGGTGATATTAACTATAATGCTAAAACGACTGACATTTGGAAAGATATTAAAATGATATTGAAATTATTATTCATAGTTAAATAAATATGATTTAGGGATTTTATTAGTGTTTTATAGGGGAATATGATCGAAGAAAATAAGGATGGCAATTGGAGACAGTTGATATAGCTCTTTTTCTTATCAATTTTCTCATCAATTTCCTCTTATCAACAACTATTATATAGTTGTTAATGTAAAACTGATCCATAAATAATGTTCAGTAAGAAAGAATATTTTCCCAAATGAATTTAAAATTTTATTGTTTTTAAAAGAGATATCAACAGAAATACTGTATGTAAATTCAGATACAAAAGACAAGATCACGACATGATATCATGATACGATCAGAAGTCAATAATTGTCACCACCAACTAAGTAATATATCGTTAAGTCGTGATAGTAAGATGAAATCGAAAAAAGAAGAATGTCATCCGGTAAATATTTCTTCAAGACGATCAGAGTCATTACAGAGGTCACATGTTGATAATTGTAGTGGAAATGATCGACGAAGGGAGAGGAGTTCATCACGAAAGTATGTCGTCTTATTTATTTTGAAATGTTTACAAAATTCATGAATAATTTCATACAAAATTTTTATAAATTAATTAAAATATACTAATACATTTGCATGTAATAAATTCCTCTTATCATATGGATTACATTCATTATCAGCAGTGCTACTTATCATTGTTATCATTTTGCACATTCATTTCCAATTGTAATTTTATTTCCTTAATGTAATAAAGGATTAAAGTGAGGGATAATTTTAAATGAAACATTGTTGTAGAAGAAATAGTTTTGCCATAAGTTCATCCAATAAATCCATTTGCACAAATAAGCAATGTATCGGAACGAAAACGAATAAATCCATTGTATTTTTTGATGAATTAATTAATTATTAAGATTAACCCATAAATATCATAGTTGAAAGAATGATTTTTCAGAGCTTCATATCGAGCATCGGTACCCCGACGATCATCTCTTACCAGAAAAGGCACATGAGACAATTAGAAAAAAAGAAATTTGAATAAAATTTTGATTCAAAATATTTTAAGTATTAAATAATTATATATTGCATAAACATTTATGAATACACTCATATTCAATCTATACTTAAAGTTGACTTTTCTGTTGTTTTATAAATGGATATAATGAAGCCCTTTGCAATTAAAAAATGTATCGAAGTTTCAGAAAGAAAAATTAAATTCTGATTTGATAGTGATAATTCTTGTTGCATTCTGCTATTTTATCATATTTGATCATTCATGTGTTAACATGAATAAAAGATCATTTGGATGGTCGGATTCCATTCTTTGAACGATTTACCTATTAACATTCAAATGAGCCAATGAATCTTCTCTTACAAATTCACAATGAAATTCGTTCATTTTACGTGAATGGTAACGATTCCATGTCAGTGATAAGCGTTTTACATGAATACCTTCATTTTACCAAAGCATTATCTGTTAAGAATGAATTATGCCAAAGAAATAATAAAGACAATCAACGTATGAATCACTCAGATTTTCGTAAAGACCGTGAAATTTCGCAGCCATGTCAACCTGTGTAAAACGAGTGGCATCAGCTGGCATTGTCGTGTAATTTCTGAATTTCGGGGGGGGGGGGGAACTCTTGAAGGCTGTTATTTGATTGGCCTATTAGATAGGATAGGGCAAGAAGGATTTGCGTAGACTAGGCTTATTACTTGGTCATCTAATTACTATAAGCAAGAATGTAAAGGATGAAAACTACGTAACAAATAATTACATCTCATTTCGACGCTTTCAGAAACTATCGGTCTATTACAGAACTTTATTAGCGAATTATAATAGATATAGAAAAATTATCTTGTATAATTAAAGTGTCGATATGCTATGCATACAATACAAAGGAGTCTGGTGGTGGAAACGTTCGTTTTGCACAGAATAGCCAATAATTCAAATGCATTTCTAGAATCCTAAAGAAATGTTAAAGGATTCTACATCAATAGCAATTAAATATAATCCAGTTGCTTAATACATAATTGTTATGTCATTCGTTTACAACAATGAAACGACAAGCATCCATTGAAACGATAAGTAAAGTTAGGAGAAAATAAGGAAGAAATGAAAATAGTACTAGAAGAATGGTAATGGATTATTTCTATCAACCATTAATATCTTTCTCAAAAGTTATTAAATGGTTTCTGAGTTAAAAGTTTATGAATTTATCATCTTGAATGCAACCATAAGAGAAAACATGAACGTATTTTTTATTACAGGTTAATCAAAGGTAAAAAAGTAATGTGTAAATTACGTACATCTTGAAGTAAAACATATTTTTCGATCGCATAAGAAATACGAACGTACTTGATATAAGGATATAGGAAGTATTATTTCCTCAATTCGATGATTATAAAGAAATTTTCTTATTCATACTTGATATTAATATTTCTATAGATGACTTTATATATCGTTATGTAAACATCATCTATTGCAATGTGACATTGCACAGTGCCTTATATGCTCATTATCATTTCAGATTTGAGATAATTTAAATTTCTCTTAAATTAATTTTTTCCAATTAATTTTTCGCTACAAAAAGAATAGCAAATAATTTAAAGAATTTTGGAAGAATTTTCTCCTATCGACTGTTTATGTTGCATTTTATAATGGAAGCGTGAAAATATCAAAAATTGCAAACGATTAATGAACATTAATTTGTTATCAAATACAAACAAGTATTTTCTTCAACGAATTGTAGATGTTGGAAATGTGACAGAGTTATATAAATATGTATAACATTCAAATGTTTTACAGTTCAAAAATAATTCTATTTTTTGTCGGCTACTTTTATCTTTTTTTAATTTTTTTAATCTTTTTCAATTTTTAAAAGAATTTTCAGTTTCAAACAACTGTTGCCTGCTGTTAGCTACGCTTTGATATTATTTAATTTTTATTTTACTTTTCATTTTTTCATTGTATCATTACTGAATGCTATATCATAGCGGATACTATAACAAATTCTGCATCCGAGAACAGAGAAAGGAAAATATTTTCATTTCCGTTTTTTACTTTTTCCTCATATTTCTTCTTTTTTCCCTCTTCTTTTTATTTCTCCATCTTCCTCTTTTTCTCTCAAATTAAATATAAGAGAAAGAAGGAGTTGATTTTCACCTGACCAATTTGTTTAAAGAGAAAGGCTAGCTATGATTCCCTAAGTTTAACTTGTCTTAACAAAATATAATGAAATATAACGAAGACATAGTATCATTTTCATTATTACCATTACCAATTTATTTCTACGATTATTATAATTCAGATATGCTATCATCTTTCTTCCGGTGTCATCAATAGTTCGTTAAATTCCTGATGATTATATCAGGATTCATATGTTTGGTGCAGTTAACGTACCTTTTATGGTATGCATCAACCCTCGAAGCACGGTAATGTTTTTTTTCTTCCTTTAATTGTAGCTGTTTTAAATTTAGTTTTTATGAATGATATACTTTGATATTTCATTAAATAAAGCCAAAATTTAGTGTAAAGTGTCTATTCATATACTTAATGTTACGCATAGTGATATTCAAGTTAACGTTATTCTTCAAGTAGATATCAGAATTGATGTTCCGCTAAATATAAATATCAAAAGTTAACGTAATATGTCACGTTGAGAAATACTTGAAGCACTTACTTAAATGTCGAAATTTAACATCATTTCAAAGAATCATAGCCAGCTTTTAAAGTCGTTCGAAGTCCTACTATGAAATTTGAGTATCTGGTTTGTACCTCTCTTTACAATATTTTGGTGTAGAAGTTAATGTCGTAAATGCGATGCATTATACTTCATTTTTATGTTAAATTTAAGAGATTTATTCAAATTATGTGCCCGGGAAATTCAGGTATTATTTTTCAGCTCACCAACTCGACCAAATATAATTCTTATCATGACTGATGATCAGGATATCGAATTAGGCTCCATGCAGGTTTTTTTGTTCTCTATTTGATTATTTATGCTTTTATTATCAATTTGGAGATGAATTTAATCTGCAAACTGGCATCGGATTTATGATGTTATTAATTCTGGACCTTATATGAAAAGTTTCTTGGAGCAATTTTTTTTGGATTGATAACTTTTTTAGAGAAGAGTACTTGGATATCTGCAATATTTAGTTTTTGAACAACCTAAATGTATCCTTTTGCTTTTCAGTTTATGCCAAAAACAGTACATCTATTAAAAGAACGTGGGGTAACATTTAACTCAGGCTTCGCTTCAACGCCGATATGCTGTCCAAGTCGAAGTTCGATATTGACTGGAATGTATGCGCACAATCATCATGTACTTACCAATAATCACAACTGTTCAGGGAATGATTGGAGGTATTCGTAATTTAAGAAATTCTAAAGTGTTATCTATAAAATTAGACAGGATGAATACCATTAACAACTCTTAACTATTACGAATGAATTGCATTAGTAACTATTATCGTAAAGTTAATTGGGAAAGCGGCGTGATAATTTTGTCCAACTCTGATTAACCATCATTAGAAAATATCGTGTTGAATGACCGAGTAGTTCAGGATGATTACTGTGACTAAAAAAAATTGTATGTAAAAGGAATTTTTGATTATTAAATTTTTTAAACTTATATAGAGATCAAAAACTACAATCGATAGAAGAATATGTACTAGGAATGTTAATAGATGAAAGATAAATTTATTGTTAATCAAGGAAGCAAGCTTTTTTTACCAAATTTTAGGTAAAATGAAGTAACATAAGATGTATTTTTAGGAATAATTATGAAAAAAACACATTTGCTGTATATCTAAAAAATGAAGCAGGTTATACAACGGCGTATTTTGGTAAATATTTAAATGAGTATACCGGCTCATACATTCCTCCTGGATGGGACCATTGGATGGGATTGCTCCGGAATAGCCGATTCTATAATTATACGATAAATGTGAACGGTAATAAGATCAAACACGGCTGGGATTATGAAAAGGTTTGCTTTTAAGAATTTTCTTTCTCTTGTAATTATTGATCTCTTTTAGTACAGAACTTAAATTGTTAAATGGATAGATTTGACAGGACGCTTTAGCTGATATCATTGTAAACTTTTTCAATCTTCGTTATTTGTTATAACATTACACTTTTTAATGACTTTGGTTATTAATTTAGAAACCCAAACTAATGTACTGTTTCAGGATTATTTTACTGATTTAATCGCTAACGATACGATAGCGTTTATTCAGCAGTTGCATAGAGAAGATCCCTTCAAGCCATATATGATTGTATTATCATTTCCAGCACCACATGGTCCTGAAGATCCAGCTCCACAGTATTCTACGTGGTTTCAGGATGTCGAAACACATAGGTACCTTGATTCAGGAACTTAGAAATGCTGTATGCGCAGTGAAATAATTTTTGTCTTATACTTAGTTGATAGTTGAGTTTAAGAATAGAAGCTTGGAATTATTGATAGTTGAGTTTAAGAACAGAAGCTTGGAATTATGCTCCAAATCCTGACAAACAATGGCTTTTGCAACATACCGGACGTATGGAACCAGTCCATGTTATATTTACCGATATTTTACATAGACGACGATTGCAAACATTACAAAGTGTGGATAGTAATATTCAAAAAGTTAGTTTTAAAAAATACCTTTAGGTCCTTCTCTCGTTGACATGATATGGAAATCTTTTAAAATTTCACTGTGTTAACATGGTATGCGCATTAATAGTCTGTAAAATTCTTTTTCATTCATTTTCAAACCACAGAGGCAGAAATTAGATCAGAAAAGCTGTTGCTTAACAAAATTAGAAATTTTTATATCAAAAATATTAAGACTGCATGTTCTTAAACTGTATAGCCTCTCTTAATATTGGTATGTTAATGACTGGAAGCACGATCTGGCGCGTATGAATCATAACATTTCCAGTTAGATCACTAAGGCCAATCGATTGCTTTTGTCTATGAAATATAATAAAAGTAACTTGTAGCTAATAAATGAATTACGCGATTTGGGTGATCTGTCGAATACCGTTTTCATCTACACAAGTGATCATGGATATCATTTGGGACAGTTTGGCTTGGTGAAGGGTAAAAATATGCCCTATGAATTTGATATCCGTGTGCCATATTTTATTCGTGGACCAGGATTTCCAAAAAATATAACGTTATACTTAAATTTATTTCATTTTGTTAATTTCTTTGTTTAGTAAGTTTTGATACAACAATTATTTCTGGAAGCATGTATCTTTTAATAGTAGTGCTACATACTGGATTTCATTAAGTCTTAAATTCTGGTGTTCTTTTTCCCCCATATTCATTTTAGTACCGTTATGAAAATGGAACTCATGTAAGTTAATGAGCTATCCCTGATAGGAAGTCCTTAATTTAATCGACTTTGAACAAAGTTATGTAGGATCCGTGAACCTGTAATGAATGTTGATATAGCTCCGACAATTTTGGACATAGCTGGAATAGCAGTACCACGTCATATGGATGGATGTTCATTGGTACAACTTGTGCGACAATACGGTAATGTCTATTGCTTTTTAACTGTTCTATGATTTGATTAGTATTTTTAACTTTCACTACTTTATGATAGATGAATACGATATAACTCAGACCATAGCTGAAATAACTTATTTTTTGTGTTTTCAGTAACAGATGGATACCCAGCGTAGTTGTTATTATGGTCAGGTTAGGAGTCGTAACAACATCTAAGCTTTAAATCCTATGTTACTTCCAGCAAATATCCTCTTTAGACTAATTTTTTTTAAAGATAAACAAAAAAGAAAAACGAAAAAGGAAGCAAGAAAAACGAAGGAGTTCAAATGGCGAGATACAGTGCTGATTGAAAGGGGGTAATCTCTTGTCTTTTTCCTAACATGTTACTATTTCCTAAACATCATGGTTTGAAATAAACCTATATTTTTTTGTCTCATTTTCTTAATCTATTAAGATCAAGTAATCTGAATCATAATTTTCGTTTTTCTGAATTATTTAAATCTATTCTACTTATTCATGATGTTGTAGTTGAATAGGAAGAGCAATCTTTACCATCTTATATAGAAAAATGACGAAATTAACTCGAATACGTGATCGATTTATGAAGCAGCGTGGTCAGTTGAATAAAGATGCTCGTGTACAAAAAGCTTGTACTCGATCGGAATTCAGGGAACCATGCAGGAAAGGGCAGGTACTACTAATCTTGGAAGGAAAGGCTGTTCGAAGTTACTTTTTGCTAAATTTTCTATGATGCGTAATCTCTTTGGGTTTATCAAAATTATAAGCAAACTTCTTGTAAAGTTGATTCTATAATTAGCTTTAGTTACTTGGTCTGAATTCACTATTTGCTACATTTTAGAACATATATGGGATTCTATCGTAATGAAATCACTACTTGTATTCTTTTGCAAATGTATTAACATAATTATTGCAAAGTCAAATAAAGTTGTTATTTCAGCAATGGAAATGCATTCATGATTCTTACGGTAAATGGAGAATTTTCAAATGTCAGGCAAGTGTAGATATCATCAAGGAATGTGATTGTTCTGTGGAAGCTACACTGAAACAGCGCTATCGACGATCCAGGAGAAAGAACGGTTTGCTCAACATATTTATAATTCAGATTTTATTAGATGTTTTTGATTTGTGCTACTCATTCTGTTATTAATCATGCAATATACACTCAGATCATTCTATTGCAGTTTTTAACGATGACTGAAATTTTCTTGAGGTATCAATTCATTTTTGTATCAGTTTATATTCTTAAAGATTTTTCAAAAAACTATTGTTTTAAGAAAGGATAAGCGTTCGAAGGACAGTAACTATAGCTGAGTTGGACGAGGAAGGTGAAACAGTTTCTTTAGACGAAACTTTGCGAAGATTTTGGGAGGAAGAATTTTTGCAATATATACAAGAGGTACTTTCTTAATTCATATGTGGAAATAATCGCTGTGATATCAATTTTTTATACTAGTTCCATGAGAAGTATTCTATTTGTTACTGAATTGTAGTTTCCTCATTACCACAGTTGTCCAGCTCAGTCGTTTACCATATTATTCATTCTTTTCAATGCAGAAAGAAGTGATGGAAAGTGGTGAATGGTACCAAGGTGTTTTTGAAAACCGAAATGATGGTGAAAATGAACCGAATGATATACGTATCAAGCGATCGATAAAAATGGAAAAAGCAAGGATTGGCTGTAGGATGTTATGAAATTCCAAACTTGATATGTTATGGTTCAAGTAGGATCATCAAAAAGAAATAGTTGTTGAATTTTTTATGGAATGACCATTATATCTCTTTGCAGCTCTGTGTGTTCGTTACAATACGAGTGTCATTTGCAAGCCAAAAGTATTTCGGGACTCCAAATTATGGACAATCCACAAGGCAAAAGTGGATGATCGAATTGAAAATCTTAGGAGGAAATTACTACTCTATAAGGTTGTTCCCTTACTTTTATTACATCTAGGCATATGAAAGTTGTGCCTTGCTTGCTTTTTTTTATTGCTCAAATCCACTTTTTCAATGTTGGTTTTTCTCTCATTTATCTAGAATGAAAGACCTGAAACATGCACTTGATAATGAGACCTACCATATTAGGCGATGTCATTCTTATCGAACGATATTTGTTGATAAACTCTCTTATTTTTATAGTGCGATGTTCTGTCACCAATTTTTCAAAGATAGTAAAGTATCAACAAATTTGAAATATTCAACTCAAATAGAGGATTTTAAATCGATATCCGTGCCATGGTTGATATCTGGAGTAATTTAATGCGATCCTGACCACCTTGCATATTCCTTATTTATTTCATTTTACAAATCTAAAAAGAAAAGTTTTAAAGGATATGCGGAGAGCATTGAAACGAAGGCGACCATTAGCATCGAGCAAGTTTCCACCATCAAGTGATTTAAGTGGTTGCATCTGCAGAGGGACACGTGCTCGTTTGCTAGGGTAACTTTAATTGTTTTTAATTATTTGAGTTTTTTCGAGTAGAATTTACAAATTATTAATGTATTATAAAGTACTCGGAGGAAAGTTAAAAAATACAGGATATTTGAAGGAATGAAAGTAGCCGCAGCGATGTATTATGGTGGCGAAAAAGTGGGAAAAATGTTCACCACAGTCTACATGTTGGAGTTAATTCAAAGTAATGCTCTTTAAAAGAATTGAAATTGCCGTCAACTGGATTATTCTACCTTTTTATAAAACTAAACAGGAGCTAAGCAAATAGTATTTGTTGAACGTGAAATCATTTTATTCTTGAATACGTTGTAAGATATATTTCAGGACACTGGAAGGATTTTTTCTTATCTGCAGCGATGAATAGGTGGGATACTCGGTAGAATGTGAATAATTGCAGAAGCTTCAAGAATGTGAATAATTACAGAAGCTCAAGTCATGGTGAAATGCATGCGAATTGTACAGTACCACAGATGAACTGTTTCGTCCATGGTGCAGATCACTGGAGGACACCACCGTTTTGGCCGGAACGGTATGGCCAGTTTTGCTTCTGTCAAAATTCCAACAACAACACATATTGGTGCATACGAACAGTTAACAGTACACACAACTTTCTATACTGCGAGTTTATCACCGAATTTATAAGCTTCTATGATCTTAATGCTGATCCATATCAGGTTAGTAATTTTTAGCAGTTCTTGTTCTTGAAAAAGAGGAAATTAAACATGAATACAAACCTGAACTTGAACTTCATAAGAAAACGATCATTTCATTATTCAAAACTTATCATTTGCTTGCCGAAAAGTATTCAATCGCTAAATTTACTGCATAAATTAAAAGATGACAAATAGTTTGAGAATTTTATAAGCTACTTATTGAATCGCCAAATATTCCCTTCATTAGTTTTGTAAATGTTGGGAAGTAATGAATCCGTAAAGTGATAGCTGATACAGCTTTTTTTTTTCAGTTGCACAATATCATATGGAGCATGCCATTGGGAGTGTTGGAACAATTAAGTAGGCAACTTGAACTTTTGCGGACATGTCAAGGTCATGCGCAATGCGAACATTATTCCTCTCCAATATGGCATCTTCCATTTATGGAAAGTGATAATAATAGCTTTAATTAGTACTTGTTCTAGACATTTAAGATTTTAAGAACTTTGGGAGAAAACGGTTCCAAACTTTAGGAAAGATTTTATTTATGAAAGATAAGTCACTGAAGAAAAATATAGGAATTAGTATATTTGGCTTCAGGTTTATATTGAATCGAACAATGTTAACAAAAACCTTATCGCTGTAATGCCTTTGGTTTTAATGTTTTTGTGCCCGTTTTTGTTTTTGTTTTTTAGGGCTAAATCTTGAATAAATGATCTTATGGATCAGTAATATGTAGATAAAATACATTGCATAAGCAGAAATTTCCTCTAATTTTCGTTGAAAAAGGATTTGAATGCGATAATGGATATGAATATGAATGGCATAGATGATAGAGAATTAATTTTGTTCAATAAGAAGCGGTTACATGATCTCCAAATATTTCGAAGCTGTAAAAAAGTCTGAACTTTCATAAGCAGCCATAACTCTCATAATGAACCAGCTATAATTGTTATTTTCAGTTTGCTCACTTTGTCACTCATTCCAGTAATAATTTGACGTGACCAAAACTTGCAATCAGGATAATATAGTAAGGTTTCACAAACTATTGTCATCAAACAATGCAGGGTGCAAAGTTCGATGAAGTACTGAGATTAGCAGAAGAAAATTATGGAGAAATTAAAGTTAGGCTTGCTGTAGAAATTGCTGCAAAGGACTTGACGTAGTACTTTTATAGTACTTGTTTCATCAGTGTCTGTAGTAACTATCGTAGGTCTTACAATAGCATCTGCTGTTATTGATTTTACTGTTGGATTTGTTTGAGTTGTTATGGATTTATTTATTGCAGGAAGTGTTGGTTGGACCTGCTATTTCTGATGTTGATTTAATAATTTTGTTTCTTGAACAGCCGACCTATACTGCTCTAAAGCACGTCTCAAAATTAACAGCCCTTAAGGTGGAACATATTAATTAGCACATTTAACTTGATTCCCATTTTTAAAAGCGCATTTCCGTTCTCAGCCGTTCAGCCCATGCCACTTATGTATCATATTTCATGATCTTGTGTTCGTCTTCACTTATGCATATTGATGCTGATCATAGATAATTATTTCCTTTTTTAACAAATCAACTAAACTACCCGCATCTAGCTTCCGATTTGAACAAAATTGTAAACTGCAAGGTCATGAAATATGATACACTAATATACAATGGATATCAAAGAGAAGTCCACTTAAGATTTCTGGGGACAGTTGTATGTTATGTGCACATATACGTACAAGGCGTATACCGAGTTTCTCATATCGACATTAACAATCCATTTTATTATTTGCTCATTTTTTTTCGTTGGTAATATAGCAGACTGATAAGATATCACCAATTACGATAACAACCTACAAAATATCATATACGTACCTGTAATATAAGAAATCTAAAAACAATATGATCTTAAGGTTATTCTATGACTTCTCGATTTTCCTTGTCGCTTCAATCCTTCCATTATCCACTCTTCAAAATGACATTAATAAGAGCGAAGATGTTGCAGCACGACTTCTTTGTTCTACCATAAAGATAAAGCATATGAAGTCTTTTAAAGCACGAAGTTTAGTTATAACCAAAGTGCCTTAAATTCATTTTATATTTTACTATACTTCTGAAAGAATTAAAGTGTTCATCTTTTTAATGAAAACTTTAAGCTTTTCAGAAATATAACATCTGCATGTAAACATGATTCAAGCTCTATTCCATTTTTCAAATGAGCACTTCTTGCTTTTCAACTGGATATTAATTCTCTCTTGAAAAAAGGGTAAATAAAAGTAAATTAAGGATGATATAGAGCAGCAAACATGAAAATCGTACAAGAAAGAAAAGAATAAGACATAACCGTCATATAATAATAAAGCATGTGCATACCGATAGCAAAAAATGCTGAATCGTCATATGTATAATATATATATATATATACTTTAAACATAAATTAAAAAATAAAAACAAAAAGAGCATGCGTTGAGTAATACAAATACAATACAGCGTGATGCTTCAAAAGGCGTTTTTAAACATATAAAGCAAAATATTTAACGGTAATTCACAATTTCAATAAAAAAATCACTAGGAAGAGAAAATGAATAAGAGATTTCGTTCTAATACGATTTACAGTTATGCTTCTTCAAGATATTTCCTTTCGATTTTCAAAGTACAAAACTTTCTGTCTGTTCCCTAATTAATTCAGAAAAATAGTAAACAAAAATCTATTCGTTGCTTAAATATGACATAATGATACACTAGTGATATACTGTGCTTCTTTTAGCATATGTCAGACACTGTCGTCTTCAATTTCTGTCCATCGTAAACTGTCTTAAACTGTTCAGGTACAGCAAATTCCACCTGAAATTAGTTATAGCAACAACAATAATGACAATAATAATAGTAATAATAATAACTCGTCACTTACTAACTTTTAGTGATTTCCCCTTTCCATGTGGTAATTTTTTACTAGGTATTCCAACCATTGGTAAGAACAAAAATTATTTCCAAAATGTCCTGCCTGTCACACTGAGACCGAAAGGAAATTTTCACTAATTTTGATCATGTTCCCATATACAACTCCTTTTCTCTGCAAAAAACGAAGAAGCTCAAAACTCACAAAGTCACCATCTTCAGCACCTGGTACAAGCACGTTCATCTCAGATGATTTACTTGTTATTATTTCCGCATTTATTGCATTCTTACTGAGATACACCTGACAACCGTCAGTTTTCTGGATTGATAGCGTTGGCATAGCACCAAGTGTCTGCAAATATAGCAAGAAAAATTATATAATATCGATGATATTATATAATTATATAATGTAATAATATTAATAATACTGTCCTACAGTCAATCAAATTAAGATGTTAAAAATAGTATACTTTATACAACGCACATATTCTAGGACAGTTGGAAACTATTAAGCAGAGTACCATGTCAGGGGATTTCAGATAAATCAGACAGCACTATAAAAACAAAACTCGAGTAACTTCTTCCCAATAACCATATTAAAATTGAAATTAACTGAGAGAAAATAACCAAACTGTTTTGAAAAGGGCGTCAGTAAAGCCTCAAAATGCTTACCTGTATTTGCACACTTTGACAATTAATCACTTCAAGCTGAGACAAAAGGCTGTCAAATACAACAGATGTCTTTTTGCAGCTATCCAATGTTACTGAATTTACCTTCCCCTTGATCTGAAAATTCCTTTTTTTTAAATAAATTTTTTTGAAAAATATTCTTTCTTTGAAATTTATGATTCGTCTTTGCTTGAATAGGAATTCCACAATAACATTAGAAATCAATTAAAAATGAAAAATAATTTTCAGGAAGTTGTTTGAGTACTTGTTATATTTACATCCACTATCGATAAAACCTGAATAGATGAATAACCTGGATTAAATAACTTAATTAGATCATCACTAGAAAAAGCAAACCGACCTGAATGACAGTATTCTCGCATTTGAATACATAGACTGTCTGCTTCATATTACTAACTTCGACCATCACGTTATTGTTATTTTTATAGTATTCCTCAAACATAATCCAAGTTTAGGGAAGAGTTTTCTCTCTTGATGTCTTGTCTTGCTTATATAAAATTTCTATCTTTTCCTTTATTTCTCTTTCCCCAATCCCCTCAGTCCCTCTCCGTCTAAAAAAATTTATCATCAAAGAGTAAGAAATTTACCACATTCCACTGCTTGCCGTTATCTAACCATGTTTTCGGTGGTTTATCTTCTTGATTTTTTACTGGCGAAGTACTGTCAGTTACCGTCATTTTCTTGCTTCGTGTTTCAGCACCAACTTCTTTCTGCCATAAAGATATGAAAATTTATTGACAAGTATGAAAAAACACTAAATACGCTAACAAAAGCGTCTAGCATTAAGTTGCTTGCATGATATTTTCATTCTCTTTGATTACAGATGACCACGATAAAGGAAGAATGAATTTCGAATTTGGCAAAAGTCAAAAATTCCAAACACAAATCAAAACAAGCAGCTTGTAATAGTTTGGCAATTAACTTGCACTGCGATACGAGATACCACACTTCGTGAAATAATTCGATTAAAGAAACAGATCATTAAACGCTAATAATTACTGAAATGACCGAATGAGGTGTTAATAACCGACCTATCTACCTAATTTATAAGGAATTTTTCGTTTAAATAGTGGTTCTAAATGCAAATACAAAAGAAAATACCTAGCCTTGTTGTCGGTATAAAATAGGTAGGTATAAAATGAAAATTTTCGCAATTTTGAAAAGTAAGACAAAGTGGATTAGCGACTCACTTATATTCCACACTTGAACTATGCAAATTTATTTCAGAAAACTTCTATAAAATATCGTACCTGTGATCGAAGTTCCGGGTTCTTGTGTGTTTGCATATCTGGTGTTACTTTTTTCAGACGTTTTGTAATTTTTTCACCGGCATTAATTTCCGCAAACAGTGCTGCCCGATCACTTTTATTGGTTGAAGCATTTGCTTCAGATGATACTGCAGCAAAAAGATCTGGAAAGAAAAAGGCCGTCTCATTATCCATGGAAACAAATTGCATGGGTAATGACCATGATGAATAAAATCTTTGATCTATGGAAGTCTTTGCAATTATCACATGAGAAAAACAAATAACAACACTTAGTTACGCCATTAGGTTAACAATAACAGCTTATAATTTCGAAAATTAAAATTTATAACCACAGACAACCCATAACATTGACTGATATTCAGTGCAGTATGGTTATTTCATAACAGTCATAACAGCACAGATGCAAGCCCGACACAATGAAGATTTAGCTTTCCAAATGGGCTATTCCTGTGGTCCAGCTCTTTAAACTATCTACCTTAATTTGAAATAACCAAAAATTAGGCTAACAATGATCTTTGCAAATGTCCTTAAAATATAAGCACACATAGAGAAACACAAAACAAACCAGGTGGTAGGACAGGAGGAGGTGGTGGAGGTGGCGCACCTACAGACGAAATGTTGCTGGAACTGACTTGTTTTACCAGTGCTGGTGGCTTTGTGCCCTTAAAATCAAGGAATTTAAATTCTGTATTTAACACGCATTTTCCTTTATTGAATACAGTAAAAAAGGAATCTTTCCACAATCTTAACCACCATTAAATAAAAAATGCAAATCGACGATCTAACACTTAAATATAGGTTTATAATAAAAAGTACCTGAAACTAATACCATCCCTCATTCAATAATTAACTTACACCATTCATCTAAATATGAGCAATTTACTGTAAATATGCAAAGACAAAAATAAGAAATAGTAAGAAAAAAAAAGTAAAAGACGACTATTTTAAAGCAATCTGAAATCTCTTCAAAAATAAAATCAACTTACTGGGCAGCTGTTCCAAACAAGACCAGTAGTATGTACTTGTCGTACATATTTTTGCAAAGCATTCAAAACATCTGACCATGACTTCGCCCATTCAGTATGGATCTCAAAGAATGTAAAATTACTACTTTTTGATCACTATTTTGATATTTTCAATCGAAAATTCCATCACTATTGGAATTTTCAATGGATATTTTCCGATTAGCAAACTAGATTACAGTAAGCATAAAAATAAGAACTAAATTAAAAATGACTTTAAACCACTGCGATCATAGCAATGAAAAATAAACCAAAGTATAGAACATTAGTTATTGAAATAAAACAAAATAAAGTACACTGCAGCACACTTTATGATCAATATTCATTGATAATGTACCTTATCATCCTTCCGCTCCTTCAGAACACGATTCACAAAGAACATCGATGCTTCAAACATATCCTTGATAAATGGTGTAGGCGTAGGTTTCTATAATTCACAGAATTATTGTAATGAAAGATAAACAAACGGCAAAAGAAATGCAGTAAATTTATTTCCGTTTATATCCCATCCTTTTCCAGACCTAATAAAATAGAAACCTGAATGTGAAGGAAGTTTATTTCAAAATATGGCATACACTAAGGAAAATAGCAAAAATTACAAAGCCTTAAGAATCTTACCACAGTGAGCCAACCAAGGGCTTGAATTCCTTCACTTGCCGCTGAAATATGATTGAAAAATGGTGTATTCCTTTTGGATTCTTTGAATATTGAGAAATCTTCCATCAACTTAACCAAAGGACTAAGTTTTGCTTGAAGTTCATTAGCCGATGGTTCTTTTTGACCGGCAGCTAACCAAATAAAATTACGTTGCTCCGTGAAAAGTATCGACAACTTCTTACCCTAAAGGGGTTATTTAACGTTATTTAACGTTATTTAAGCACACGTTATTTAACGAAGCATGACAACTTCTTACCCTAAAGGGGTTATTTAACGTTATTTAAGCACACGTTATTTAACGAAGCATTTCCAGATGTGAAGCATTTTCTTTAATGCACCTGGTCTTCGCCAGTCTAAAAAAAGCATATGTGTCAATCAAAACTCTCATCACTATCACCACAGTTCAGACCATTTTCATTCAAAATGCATAATATATAACGTCTATGGGTCATAATTTCAGGATCCCTTACCGACATATGTTCGATCTCATAATCAGATAGGAAAATAAGCAAAAGCAAATGAAAAAATAATTTCAAAGTAAAGAAAAAATGATTTGAAGAACATACCACTGTTTGCAGATCACCGCCAATATCAGCACTTAACTTCAGCAGTCTTTGAAGAGGCTCATCAACAGCATCATCATACTGTACAACAGATGGCGGAGTTTCAGCTGATGCTAAAATTTCCATAAAACACTAAACAAAAGATGTGCACAACAGATGCAACCCTTTACCAACTGAAATGGAATTAAGAAAAATCCGACTACATGACATGATATCTCAATTTATCAACAGTACTTTCCTCTTAAATTTTCCCATAATGTAAATTTACTTTTTTGGAAAATAAGCTGCTAACTCTATCAATAACTGCTCAAGCATCTTTGATTACTGTCATAATACCAGAAGGGAAAGAAATCAACTATTCTACAAGTATTGTTCAATACACATTCGTCATGACAAAATTCAAATTAAATTTTAAAGCTAGGGATTTGTTTCCGTTACTGGTCATTTTTCGAAACATTTAACGCCTTTCTTTTGATCCAGCAATGCAATTAAGTTACGATTTGCAGACTAGAGGGGATGCAAATGATGAGCAAAAAATATTAATGCGTCTCCTAAAATTCATAAAAAAATTATTGAATTTAGAATAAATATGCTTTTTTAGTAATTGTCTACTTCATAAAACCAGTCAGTTAAAAACGAAAAAACCATAATCATTTCAATCTAAAACATTTCTTTGCATCTGCAATTTCCGATGCACGTAACAGAATACCTAACGGCGATATATCGAAATAAGCATAAGAAGAATTTTGTGCGTTTAAGAATGTAGAGTAGAGTATAATGGCATATGAAACGGGACTTTCGATACCTCAAATCATTTTTCATCATATTTAATCGCACATACTATTCACTGATCAAATTTAAAATTAGAGATGAAATTATAAAAAATTTAAGTTATAAATTTGTATATGAAAAGAATTTACACCAGAAAAAATTCTGAATGAAAAAAAAACAGATGTACGTCTTCGTTAAAAGAAATATCATAAAGATGATATATATCTTAAAGATAGTTTATTGCAAGTTTCTGTGGTAATGTATGACCACTTTGAATATTACTTACTTTTATTTTGTTCGAGTTCATTCTTTGCAAAACCATTACTATCATTATCACATTGAAATGCAACTTTTTTTGGCATTTTAATTCCCGAATCATTCACTGATCGGATATTATTTCCATCTTTCACTAAAATTCCAGGTGGACCTGCGGCATTTCGAGTTTTCCCACTACCAGTAACGAAGGCTGCATCATTCACGGGAAATGGTTGGTTTAGGCGTTGCGATGTGACAAAAGTGGTAAGAGAATCGTAATCTTTCTCCAACATAGCAATATCTTGGGAAACAATAGGTTGTTCTTGGGATATAGTTATTTCTTTCCGCATTTCAGGACTTTTATCGGTATCTGTTGTAATTGCTGGTTTATCGACGACTGTTGTCGGATTTGCTTGCATATTTGTTTTATTTGTTCCACTAACAGAACATATCTTCTGTTCTACCAATTTTTCAGCGCTACCTGCTGAACCAGTACTTTGTGAAGTACTAACCATCTGTCGTGTAATAATCCCTGAAGTTCGTTTATCTTCCTTCAATTTAGCGTCAATCATTCCCTCTTGAGCCTCATGCGTCTCAACTTTTATCGGTTTTCCCAAAAGCGGACTGTCCTGCTTAGCCTGTGCATCCATAGATGTGGGGATAGCTGATGGCGACTCTGTCCGAACAGTGTTGTTGGTTCGGAATATACTACGTACATGTTCTAAATTGAATGGTTTTGCCGATGGTGGTCTTTTGGTACCAAGAACGTCGTGAAATTGTTGAACGCTTTGCTCGAAAAAATTTTCCATCTGCCGTAATGAGGGAGATTGTTTCGGTTGTTCCTTAAGGGTTGGTGATGAAAATGCGTCTGTAATAGGTTCCGCTGATATTCGGCTACTCAAAATATCGGCTTTTCTTCGGAATTTCGGATCTTGCTCCAGTTCTGCCCGAACTCCCTTGGCGACATTAAACATTGCTATACTCTCTGATAAACCGTTGTCATTGATTTTTATCAAATTTGGATCCGATGTACGCCTTTGCAATGGCCCAATTTTTGGTGATGCTATATGATGTAACGTTGCATAATTTTTACGCCTTTCCAACTGTTGGTAGGCAATTGGCTTCTGTTGTTGTTGTTGCTGCTGCTGCTGCTGTTCATTAAAAGGAACCTGAGATGCATTAAAATGAGCAGAACTGCTAACCCGCGTTTCGGAACAACTTCCATGTTCACGGGTTAGTCCATGCACATTGGCATATTCACCAGTGCTGAAAATGGATGCCGGCTGCGACTGAATTACTACCGGCTTTGGAGCGTGCTCAGCAAAAGGTACCGTTGAATCTGAACGAAAACGATTGCCTTGTTTACTAGTAACAGGATGATGATATTCTTTGCGATATAGACTAACATTTTGTAAAATCTGTTCTGATTGCGGTTCTCGAGTTTGTGTTTGACGTAACCAAGGTGGTATCTGTTGGCTAACATTTCGATGTTGAACCTGGAATACATTGCTCTTCGATATTGGAATACGTACCTCTGACTGGAAACTGTTCAAACTCCGACCAGAAGTTCCGCCTGAATCAACTGAATCATGCAAGGGTGTAGCCTTGTATTTCTCATAATTTTTGAAACCCAGCGTGGACGACGTGGATGACCTAGCTGAGTTGACAATATTTAATCGATCTCCTTCCACATTCTTAATAACCTCAACTAAACTTGAATCTTTGGAAATTTTCGCTTGTTCGAAATTCCTATTGTTAATAGAAGTATGATTCATTGATGGTCCAGATGAACCAAAACGGCTACCCTCGTAAATAGATGCAAAACTGATTGGTGGTGCACTGGTACGTCCACTTTTCGGTTCTGGTGTTTGTAAACTGGTCATACTAGACGATGAATGTATATTGCTACTCATCGAACGGTATGATGTAGAGTGCTGTCCAAATGGTCTTGGACTCTGGAAGAACATTTTCTCCATTTGTTTCTCTTTTTTTACAGGAAATCAAAATAGGAGGAACAAGTGAAAGCAAAAAAGGTCGTTTCAGAAGAAAACAACATGAATATACGAAGTCAGTCACAGCCTACAAAATTTAATACAAGTTGGAAGAATATGCCATTATTCAAATAAACAGTCGTTCAAGAAACTTTAGAAAACTTCTCAGTACAGTTGGCTGTTTAATGGCGGTTTCCCAAGCTCAGTTTTCGGAAATATTGTTTCGGATCACATAACCGAACTAAAAAAAGCAATTAAATAAACGATAAATCGTTAAAATTATTAAGATGCTAATTTTCAGCAATCGTTAGAAGCCAGCTAATTTTCAGTAATCGTTAAAATGAAAATCTATAAAGTGAGAGGGTATCATGTAAAAAAGAAAAATTAATAGCAGTAAATGTCTCGCTATAAAACCCATCTTAGATAATGAAAAAGGCTTAACGGTTGAATTTTGTAACTCTTTCGTAACCAGGAAGGATCAAGGCTAAGGTGAGATATAACCTCAAAAGCTTGGTACAAGCTAAGCGAGTCTTACCGCTTACTTGAACGGCTATTGCATACGATTTGAAACAAGGATAGCTTCGAAAACGGAGTTTCGTAACTTTTCTTCAGAAAGCTGGCTTTATTTAGTATATAGTTCTCTACGCACAATACTAAAACATAGATAATCCAGGAAATCCTAGTAATTTAATAAAAATCACGTGAACCACAGTTTCTAAGCCTTTTTAATGATCTAGAATCAACCAATCACATACCGATTTCAATCTCATACACGAAAATCCTCATATCTTACGAAGACACCATACAATGAAATACTAAAATTATCTTCAAAGAAAATTTTCATAGAAGCAAAACGGGAATTTTCAACAGCGATTGGTTTTATCAAACAACTGTTCCATAGGGTTCAAAAAGCTTGCAGCATTGAACGAACTCCCTTTTCTCTCTTTCCTCTCTAAGCTCGAAAAATTAACTGACACTGGTTTCAAGAAGGCTGTACCTGAGGAAAGAAGAAAACAAACATTATCAAATCTTATAAAAGCTCAAAATAGATAAAGCTGACCAAAAAATTGGAAAAAAAAAACGAAAAGCGTAAATACTTATCAATTGGTGAAATGATTTTTCGAAAAATGAATTTTCGACGAACTGAAAACTGAAGAGAGGAATCGCGAAAACTGGATGTTAGCATGTGTTCATGTAAAGACAATTTTATGCAGTATTTGGGAAAAAAATTGAAAAAGTTCACCAATAATGAAAGATCATGAAAAGTTTCCAAATTAAAAAATCAGACAGAATATCACTTTAAAATACCTCATAAGCTTGTATTCAAAATATAGGTACCGAAATATTACGGTTCTCATGTTCTACTTCAGCTCATTCTCGTTAATTCTTACGTCTTTCAAAATAACGAAAGTATGCTAATAACATAAAAAAGAGATCCGGAAGTCTAAATTACTTAAAATTCGAGAAACAAAACGATAATTTAGTTTATAGTTGTTGACCGAAAGCATTGCTACAGGAGTCTCAGTAGCAGTTGCAGTTAATGCTGCTATAGTTCTACATCTATGCTGCCGATAGATTAAAAGAGGAAAAAAAAAGAAGAAGGATAAGAATTACGGATATAGAGCCTCAGGGTGCGAACAAGCTTATTCTCGCTATAAAAACACTTTAGTCATTTTCATCAGCATTCACTGCAGTTGTTCGCCTCATAGAACTATGTTCTCATCAACACCAAAACTAATGAATGACATTACTATCATTCGTGTTACTTCATTTCAATCATTTATTTGTGGCCAACTCAAAATGCAGTTCACAAAAAAGCTCCAAAACATTTTAAAATCTTCCTCGCTACACATATGAACACAAAAGCACACATACCATAGCACATAAAGCAGCAGACATTAGCAATATATACACAGTCTTTCAACCAAACATGTGCTACTCTCACAACAGCAAACATGCCTCAATGTCTCAAAGTTTTTCTCAAGTTCCACTTCCTATGAAACGGTCAGAAGTATACAGCAATACTGATAAAAAAAATTAAAATTTACTAAAAGCATAAAAAAATTAATTCCGAAAGAGGTATTTATAATCACTTGCAAAGAGTTCAGTGAATTAATTTAAGATATTAAGCTCAAATAACTCTTATTTCTGATTGCTTTGCTTTCGGGTTACTGGAAAATCAGAAAATTTATTCAACTTCATTCATCAAATAAATAAAATTGCTTATTAGAAAATTTTATAAACCTATTCTTATATCATTAATATATGCTGGTCAACCAAAAAGGAACACTTAACACACATGTTTTCAGAACATAACTATAATTCAGGTTATAAACCGGCTTTTAAAAAATTATCGTGCAGTATCAAGTTTATGACATAGTGAAAGTCACATAATTTATCTAATTTTGAAGTGCTTATTCTAAATTAGATAGAGCTATTGAAAAGTAAACCAACATATGGATCTAACTAATAAAAACCATTCTAATTATCTTCCAATTTGTAGAACTTTCCCTATCATTAAGCAAATGAACCTAAAGAAATCTCCACTATTCTTGCCTAACTGACTATTTTCGGTGATCTCCAACCATCCACGCCAAGTGACTGGGATGAAGTGGAACAAAAATCTTCTGCATGTTTGGGATAATACATTTCCAGATGGTTATGTTCGAAACAAAGTTTAAAGCATAAGTGCTATTTTGGATAAAACGGATGGTATTTATTCCCGCATAATGCTTTCCTTAAACATAGCTATTATTCGTTCATACTGCTGCTTTCGATATTTACAAACTTCAATTCATAAATTCATGTAAAAGTTTTAATTGTAATTGATGCCTCAAACCTGAAATAATCTAGATAAATAATTCTGAGATTAAAGGAGTAAACTAATTCTGATCAGAGACATAAAAAGCGAACAACTTAAATAAGCTTACAAGGAGCAATCAGTGATGGAGTATCATTCCTTACAGGCTTCGGTGCTATCGTTGGTTTCTGAGCACCCAATGCTTCCAGACGTAATGTTGCTGTTTCAAGTCGTTGCACCAACTTTTCTAAATTACATGCTGCATTCGTATTCATCGTTATTTGCTGTTCTTCGTTATGCACATATAATTCACCTGCCTACAATACAAAGCATAAATTCATGTAAAATCTGCAAAAATGTAAAACGTTAAAGACAGAAAAAAGACAGAAGTTATTAGTTTATGCCTAAAGAAGCTGAAAAACAAATAATACAAAAAGACTCTGTTGTAGAAAACAACCAGAAAAGTCACGCGAATAACTATGAAATCATGAGTAAAAGTTATTGTTAGTATATCTTAAAGATGTTTAAAAATTTTTAAACATTTAAATGAAAAAAAGTCTAGTCTTACGTCAAGAAAGATACAGAACTTTTTAAGCTTATTGCTTCAAAGATTAAAAAAAGAAGAAGTGAAAATGTCGTCGTTAGTTGAGGAAATTTCCAAAAAACTTGAAATGAAAGAAATATGAATTTATTTTAAACAAATACTGAAGATGCTATTGTTTGTTGAACAGAAATCCAAAGAAGAAAAAAGAATTTGATATACAAAAATATACACATTTACTTAAAACAAGTATCAATTAAAGTGAAATACTCTTAAGAAGAAATTAGAATAAAACATAAATAACTTGCATAATGAGCTTCTCAATTCACATAGAAATACACTTATCATCCATCAAATTCTGGGAATGGGATAAGAAAAGCTACAGCAAATATAATCAAGTAAGTTGACCTCAAACGATGTGAAACTCAATTTAATTAAATTAAAATTTCAAATAATTGGAATAAGGGTCATGTAAAAATACGCAGCCTATCAGCTATCATTATATGAAAACTCACATCTCACCCACGCAATTACTTGAAAATTATCGTACATTATGAGTTTCATTATAAGGTATAGTAAGTCTTTGTGTCCTTTAATTGAGTACACAAGTTTATAGATTATTAAAATGGTGGAAAATTTAGGAAGCATTCAATTATCATGAATTGAATAAGAAAATTATAAGGGAACATTAATTCTAATTCATAAAATAACTAAAGAATAAGCAAACACCGTTGTAACTTCATCATTTGATATTTTTAATTTGAAATTTGATATTTTTAATATGCGATTAATTTTTTGAGCTATATACTCTTATCTTACGATAGCATCAATTTCAGCTATATACTCTTATCTTACGATTAATTATTGAACGATATTTTGGTACATGTGAGCAAAATACTTTTTAATATATCTTCTCATCAATGTATAAATAAATCATAAGAGTATGTTAAAAATTTAAAATGACTTTTTATTTTATTTGAAAAGATAATTAATTATCTGATATTTATAGGCAAAGAAATTCGATATTTCTTTGGCAACAATTTCAGAAATTATAAACTAATTAAGACTAATTGCAAATTATAGACTAATTGCATAATTAAAGCTTTCTTAACATGTCCTAATTTAAGTAATATCAAACAAAGCGAATAAATATTTCATTAATAGAATTTAATGAAACGAAAAAAAAGAAAACGAAGACTTTTACAAAAATTGATTCACTATTGGATTTAAAAATAGATTCGTAATTACATTACAGAACCAGAAATGAAACTGATACTGGGAAATTGAAGAAATTTAAAAGCAAAAGTAATGTGAATGAGTCATACCCATCTAATCTAATCTGTGGTGATTAGATGACAAATGTCAGTTAACTTATATTTACTGACTGACTGCTAGAGCGAAGCAGATCGATCTCTCTAAAGAACAGAGATCGTTCGTTGATTCATTCATATTCCTTATGTGTAATATGTGTCTATATGTGTGTGTGTGTGTGTATGTGTGTGTGTGTGTGTGTGTGTGTGTGTGTGTGTGTGTGTGTGCATCTGTCTGTGTATATGTGTTCATTTGCAATCATCCATTTGAAAAGCTCATTTACATAGCTTCAAATTATTCAGAGAATTTATTCAGTGGATCATTGGAGAATTTCGGAAAGTTCTGAAGATGTGAGAAGCAATTAAAATTCATTCATTTGAGAAACCATTTTTAAATAATACGATAAAATTTTCAATTTCATTTATTGTTGTAATGAAGGAAGCAATTTGCAGAAATTTCATCACTAAATTATTGAATTATTTAAAAATCTAAAATTAATTAAAAATTTCGATTCACAAACAATACTGAAATTGAAAAAGCATTTTGAATTAGCATATTGAATAAAAATTAGATAACATACTGATAAATTTTGGAAAGTATACTGCTTTTAATTCATTGTAAAATCTGTATCAGAAATCAGAGATGAGAGATAAGAGTAAAGATATAAGCTAGTTAAATTGTAATATAATTAAACTATTAAGTAAAGCAACTATGAACAAATGATAAGTTTATTAAGCTCAGATAGTATTTTTAAATTTATTTCTCAATTTAATGTAAATTTATTTCACATCAAATTGATCAAATATAAGCAAAAAATTGTTGAATATAAAGCAAAAAATTTAGTTTATTATTTAGGCGAACACGTGTCCCATACGTGAAATTTGTTAAATTTGAATATGTAATGATAAACGAATCAGTATTCTGAAAGTACGTATCGAAAAATGATATAATTATCAAAATCATTTAATCGTAAAATAATTTTGAAATGATTAGTAATTTGTCGAAATAATCAAACAAATGAGATATCCGCGAAGTGACAAATAGCAGGAATTGAAATTATTGAAAAGAAATGAAAATTTCTGGATCAGTAACAAATAGTCAAAATCGTGCAAGAAAAAGCTGAAACTTAGAGTTAGATACGAATAATAGTATGATATGAAAGAAAGTTCAAATTCATTTCGTAATTTTTCATTTCGAATGTAATTAAATTTAAAGCTGAAAGCCGTATAGCTTAACAAGAAAGATGAGAAATGAGACGTAGTTTTTCAATTTTCAATTGATTCGATTGAAATTTTTACAACATAAAAAATAGGAAGCAGCTGTAAGCAATACATCTAACAGATATATGTAAACAAATGTGAAAATACTTTATTTTTTTTCTTGAATTTAAACAATTTAGCAATTATCGATTGAAATATTTGATTTAGAAAGAATATATTCAATTAATTCGAAAATAAATTATTGCTTTAAAAGAAATGATTAAAATTAAAATATAAATAACGAAATTCTAATTTTAGAATACATCGAATTATCGAAGGAAAAGATAAAATGGAACGTTTTCAATTAAAAAGTTTACCAATTAAAAATTTATAAATATAATCTTTTTATTCATTAATTTTCGAATTTCATTTTTAAAACAATCATTTCTAACAGTTGAAATTTCATTTAAATTAAATGTTTTTCTTAATTGAAAACAAAAGAAAACGCAACTGTTTTTCTCTTTCTCCTTCTAATTGTTTATGCAACTTTTATGTTTCAGGGAGAAATTCTGGATGAAATTCATACGATGAAATATCATATTCTCAAATTACAGCTTTCCCCGTTAAATTTGGAGGAAGATATTATGGAATGAAATAAATCAATCATAAATTACAACTTCCCCTCCTCTATTTAGCCTTAATTTTGGGATAAATTTTAGCCATTCCCAAATGAAATATATTTATTACACAAATCGTTGTGTAATTTTAAAAGAACTATAGCAATTCTCACTTCTTTTTTCAATTTGTTAAAATTCCCAAAAGAATTTCACACATAAAATATCATTTAATATTATTTCTAAATAAACTTTTCGAATATTTATCCCAATTAGATTTTACAGTAATCCTAAATCAACGTGATAAATATATTTTATATTACAATTTAAAATGAAATTCTATTTTTTAATTTCTTTTGATTTCAAATAATTAGAAAAGTTTAAAAAGAAAAATAAACAATTTTAATTTTGTAATTTCAACAGATGAAAGGAAAGGATAACGGTGAGAGAAGGTAAATGAGAATTTATGATAATCATTATTGCACTTAATAAACATATTATGCAATGATTTATAATTATCATATTATTTATGATTAATTGGAATAAATAATAAGTGATATGACATTAGTGATTATATAATATATATTGCAATTAACTTCATAATATATAAACATATATACATGATTATAACATATATATATATATATATATACACATGACTATGCAATATCTATAATAATAGTAATTATAGATTGATGATAAATTTGAGTTGGTTATTTATGCTTAATGAATAATTCTTCAAGTTTAAAAATAATTTATTTTTTTGTTTCAAAATGATTAAAAGAAGAAAAAGAAAAACTAACGATATGATTGGAAATAGGTGAATGAGTGATAGAGCGATCACATATTGGCTCAAATATTTCATAATGATCAAATGATTGATTAAATACGGTGCTAGGATCGAGTTCCCAATTGCGCAAATAACAAGGTGATGATATCGGTGTCACCAATGTATCATAGCATGAATTTCCGAAATTTCTTTTCGATTGAGTTAAACAAGATAGATTATCTTTTATATTACAAAGTAATACCGTTGATGATTCTGAATCTTTTGTAATATTATTTTGCTGTTCCATTCGACAATCATTCTTAAATTGATATTCTCGTTGAAAGCATCGACCAAAAAAGTTCCAAATAATCATCATTTAGTCAAATTATCAAATAGAAATATATTTAAATTAATGGAAATACCACACAAATTATAGCGTTTAAATGAAATACAATTTGAATTATTTCTTCCAATTTAACATCGAAATGTAGAAAATATATGAATTTTCGTTTTGTCGCTAAGCTATTTATATCATATAATAAAAAAAATGATGAATAATTTAAGTTTTTTTTTTAGTAAAATAAAAATAATAGGAATAATTTCATTAACATTTGAAGCAGTAGATAGTTGTAGCTTTAAATTTTAGTAATAAATAATAACGTCGTAATACATTTGTAGACAAATATTATGATCGTATCGGAATGAATATTTATTTCATTTTTGTCTTCAGTATCCACCTTTCTTTTTTTGCTTTCTTCAAACCTTAAATAATAATTAGAAAATCGATTGAGAATTATTAATTAATATGCCAATACAGTTTATTCTTAACCATCATAAAAAT